TTAAATATATCTTCAAGTTTGTATTGATGATTTTTATTTTACATGTGTTTGTCTCTTTTTGGAATTCGCAAGGCAGGTATTCAAAATTGTCCAATTTGTCCAATCAGATGCCGTGAAATCACGAAAATCGCTGCGATAATTCATCAGACCCTGTTGCGATATATTCTACTCCTGTGATGGCGGTTGATGCAAGGAGCATTGAGATAATTATGTAGGCTGTGTATGAGAGCAAGATCATGCGATGTGGTATCCCGGACTCGGTCAATTCGAACAGATCTAGACTTCAGTAACATCACCACTTGCCTGCCTGCTCAACCAATGAATGTGGTCATCCCTCATCCCACCATCAGTCCGTGTCGGTGCCGTACACCTCCCTGCTCGAGTGATCACGTGGTTGCGCAAGCGGGTAGCGCAAGACATCTTGGTAGCACATTGCAAGTGCTGAAGTGGCAGCTTTAGCACTTGGATGTGCTACCAAGATGTCTTTCGCCTACCAAGATGTCTTTCGCCTACCAAGAGGTCTTTCGCCACCGCGTTGGCCCACCAGAGCAGCCACGGTATTGCGACCCAACCGAGCGCACAACATAATGTTAGTTGTAAGGGGAGAACCACTTTGGGTATACAGTAGTCGGAGTGAACTATATCCAATTTTAAACAGTTCAAAATTGTAACCTCTTCTGCCAGTGTTGTAGCCAATCGTGTGTAAGAAGCAAGGTGTGATGGACTCTGATTGGATGTTAAAAAGGAGCAAGGTGTGGCTCACCTAACAAGTCATTTCGTGGACTGCCATTCTATTTCGTGATTTGCTCAGTTAGATTCGCAAAACTCCAAATTGAGAATCTCTAAGAAGACCAAGTTTCAGTTAGAAGACGACTTGAAAGGTTATTTATCCCGGCCATCGACACTTCAATCAGGTCATAGAAGTACTGGTAGATACAGTTGCATTCGTTATGGAGAATCGCTTTTGACTGGCTTTATCTTGTACACATATGTAGCGTATTAAAAATACTATTGCCGTCACCATTACGTTTTTGAACGTCAGTGACTAGTGAGGCGTGTAGCCATAAACAAGTAAGTTAATTTAGTAGAGTTGAAGGTTAACGTTATGCGTAGCATCCCGGCCATTGACACTACAAACAGCGCTGAGAATTAGCTATACTTACTAGTATACAGTTCATTATGGGAATTTGGGTGACCGTCGTACGAAATGGTGGAAATGCGTCATTGCCTCTATAACTAGAGTTTCAGATGTCGGTATACAAATCCACTAGACTGTAGTATTTCACCCAATCAATTAATTCACTGAACGAATAGAAATCGTGACACTTGATTATGGAACTTGCGGGCGGTTGTAGCCACGTCCTCACGACGTAGCCACTCACGTACCAACAACGCAGCTCCAACTCGGAGTTCATTGTCCAATTCTCCCCATGAAGTCCCGTGTCCTGTTCACTGCCGCCCTTGTGGCCAGCGCGTCCGCCCAACAAGACGTGTCCAAGAAATGCGTGGAATCTGTGACGACGGTGTTTGCCTTGGGCGCTTTCATGCCCGAACTGCAAGTATGCTCTACCGACTCTGGCGTCACCATTGACCTAACGGCGCCTCCGAAAGACGCGGACATCGCCAAAGTCGTGGCCACCAAGTCCTGCACGGTGTGGTGGGACGGCGTTGTCGTCCAGGTCAAGGCAATTTCGCCTCCCTGTGACTTTCCCGTCGAAGGGGGAAGCGTCATCAGCACAGCCAAGTTCAACTGGGGCCTCAAGGACATGTACGCATATGCCAAGGCGTCCACTGGTGCAGCTGCCAACGCCACCACCGTCAAACCTGCGGCTGCCACCACCGTCAAACCTGTGGCTGCCACGACAACGACTGTGGCTGCGACGACAGCTACTGTGGCTACCACAACGGCCAAACCTGTGACCACCGTCGCGTCTAGCGCTGCGGCCGCGGCTGCAAGTGTAGTTGTCGTGGCGTTGGCAGCAATGGTCTTGTAGTCAAGTCGTCAATTGTTTCATAAAACTTATATCGTCGTCTGTATGGGTACCTGGCTCTGCAATTCTAACAAGTTTGGCTAGGCGTGACTGTGTTTGAGCTGTAGTGTAGCTACACTGTCGGACGAGTTATAGCGTGTTCAATTCTAATTGAACGAGAAGTACACGGTAAAGTTATGCATGAGCATTCCACCCATCTGAATCTTACGTGGCCTCGCGCCCACCTGGAGATGGACAAGAGCAGCCGCAGGCAATACTTCAGCGTGGGCTATACCAACACCGGCGTGCTTAAAACAAAGCAAAGCGAACTTGTGCGACCGCTCGTGCAAATGGGCCACGTACTACAATGCATGACAAGATTGCACTAACGTTACAGTAGTACAATTGCTGGGGTAGTACAGTATCTCACAATAAAAATAAATTTCGCCATACATAGGGATAGTAACATTTAGCTATGCGCCGAGCGCCATTCGATTGCGTATAGATTCGAGTAACAGGTTATTCCAACTTTCGCACGCGACGAGCCGCTGACCAGTGACCGACGAGTTCATTTGACCCGTCCACTGCACCATTTTCGTGTATTGTCAAGGCCATGGTTTTGGTCCGCCCAAATATGATTCGGTAACGTAAATGGCCAATTGATGGTGCAATTGAAAGCGACCTCGTCGTAGAATGCAGCTTACTCGTCTCCCAGGACCGGGATTTCAATTCTGAAAAGTGCTGCATGAAGCCGAAAGTCTGGGCATTCCTCTGATTCTTTAATGGGCTTGAATAGACTTCACCTTAGTGTTCATTTACTTCGATTTCCACTTAACTAGTGAAGGCAAAATTTAAGTGTAAGGTTAAAATATGCTTCTTTCGCTTCGTTTTTGGTGATTAATGATTTGAGTGGTTATTTCAAAAATCAGCAATTCCATTGGCCAATTTTAGTGCAGCTTAAACTGTCCCATGCACAATAGGTGGGCAATCGAACAGCAGAGGATCTTCTAATCGGGCATTTTGATGACGCCCAAAGAAATGTACATGTTCCTCGTCTCGAGCGGTTGCTCTCTTCTCAACGCGTTCACGTCCTACTTCAATGGGCTTGTCATGGTGCTGCAAATCAAGCCGGTTTTACTTCCCTTGGAGCTCCATGTATGCAGAGCAAAGTCGTGTTGCCCATCCAGATCAGTTTAACTGGATCATCCGGGGGGAGGATGCTCACGACTGACACACCTACCAACACGACAAACTATCCAAAACGACGACCAATGGTACATTATCATTAACGTTCCTGGTGCCTTGATGCCTTGCAAATCATCTTCACCGTACATCGAAAGCACTGTCTTGGCGTGCTGCACTCGACGTTTAGACAGTCGTGGGGTGGGAGTTATGCACCCCAAGGGTGTTGCCAAGATGACAATTGAGTGGGAACGACGAGTGCATACCCCCGACAGTCACTCCCTTGGTCCCCAACAAGACCTTGTTCGCGTCAGTGGGAAAGTGCACTTCTGTAGGGTACCACCACCGTCGCCTGCTGACTGCTCCCAAAAAGGGCTGAGTCCCCCTGCAGATTGCGTCAAACGTTCCAAAGTTGATGAATTGACCAGTGGGGGGCGGCAACGGATGATACCGGCAATGTGGACAATATTTGTACCGTAACGAACTCTCTTGAATTGTACAAGTCAGTTAATCGGAATTTTCACATTTCCAAAATCACACTAATACACACATATGGGGGGCGGGATATGAACATACCCTTCGTCAAGCCCACGTGCTTAACGAATTGCAATGGAACGACGTCGTGACGGTGGGTGCAGCAAATAGGAACGGTATGAAACCTGTACGGTATTGGTAATTCGATTTCAAAATGGACTGGGGCTGCCAAATGAATTGACGATCCAAAAAATCGACGCAGTAACCGACAGTAGTAATCGACGTACCGAGGTAGCCAATCAAAATTTCGAAAAAAAGAACCCTTTCGACCAATCAAATTGCAGACGTATCGGGTGCATTACCAAGGTTCTCCATTTTACAAAGAGTTCAACATTGTATCGACAGGAAACACAGTGAGTATTTTCAAGCAAAATGACGTGTCGACGATTTTAGGTGGATTATTTGACGTCGTTCGTCGAATCCACCGAAAATACCAAATTTAGATTGAAAGCACAATCAATTATTAATACTACTGGAGAGTTTCAATTAAGAGTACTAGTACATGGGACAACTCAAGGGACATCGGATTCAGCTAATCATCACCCACTTTGAGTGTCGAAATACCTCTTTAAATAAATGTTCTTCTTGATCCCAAGTGTTCTATATAAATCAATTAACGAATTGGCTCTAACGTAAAAAACCAATTTAAGATAACTTTTTTGGAGGCGTAGGAGTAGAATGGACATAACTTTTGAGTCCGTTACGATATTTGAGTTTTCAATAGTGATTCCAATATACAAGACGCGCCTCTTTCAGTTCATAATCGAATCATCAGTTTAGGCGATGAACTTCACAGGTAAATTTGTTACTTTCTAAGCATTTGTACTCACATTTTGATAATCAATTTAGGATAACTTTTTTTATCTTAAAGTATGTATGTGTTTGAGCATTGAAATTCTGTGCTTAGGGTAAGCGGTTACAACAGGTTGCATATAATTTATACAAGGGTACTGTTTTATAGAGTTATATTCCTGTTGTGGATGGATGTCCACCGAGTTTAACACTCGACAAAACCTCAGATCCAACCCAATGTGGCCCGTGTCGACTAGGGAACTTCAACCCAATCTTGAATGACTATTACCAATGGCTTCTACGCCGTTTTTGCATTTCATTCACGTGACGGAATGGCCAGCATTATATGATAGAGGTTTTGACTCTAACAAATAACGAGGTGTGATTGGGCAATACAAAGTTATCTTAAATTGGTTAAGTTATCTTACTGTTAACTGTAAATTGGTTTTTTACGTTATACCGTATAGATGAATGTTATACCGTAACTACAAAAATATATGCAAGGATCAATACTACGATCAAGTTTAAAAAATGACCCTTAAATTGTCCCCTATGCTTGAGGTGTTTATGCTTAGAAAATGGGACATGATAGATACTGTGAAAATAGATGTTTCCCGTGTTTCCTGTTGAATTATCAGTTTTCAGAAGTCGAAACCCATTCCTCATTGCCGAGCTGTTTCCATTTCCCGGCAGTGCCCCCAAAATATGTCTCTTAAATTGGAACTTTACATTAACCCCCAAGTATTCACAAGTTACTTTGCCAAATTTGACCACTATAATAATCGTAATCGACTGCAACTTTAGAAATTCTTTTCGTTGGTACTATCGTCGCTGAATGGGGGCAACGCTCCTTCCAGGCATGGCTTGTTCGTACACTGCCCGGATTTGGTCAAACTCCAGCGACCCATACTGCTTGATGCTCGTGCCAAAGCTGTCGATCGTGCAATCTGGCACGCTATCCCGAAAGTTGATGCGCATAGCATTGTAAAGCGCGCGGCAATCGACGCTGTCGAAGAACTTGGCCACTTGTTCTTGAGATGCCTCAGAGTCGCTTGATCCGATGATAGTGGATATCCCAGTTGCCGTCATGCACGGCACTATTGATGCGTCCCCCAATACGAGTTGAAAGTAAGATCTGAAGTTGAACAAAGTGTCACACTTGGGCACTGGTTTGGCTGTGGTGAAGCAGATAAGGACAGCGACGATTAGCCCTAGGGCGAACGACTGGCGGCCGCTGCGCATGGTCGAAGGGTGTATGTGGGGGACGACTCGAAACCCAAAATGCATCTCCGTAACCCTTGCCAGGCAGCACCCAATGCAAATGTCACATACAGCGTTCCCCGATTAACAGTTCTACCTGTTGTTTTGACTTTACTAGCCCGTATTAGCCCTGTAACCTGGGGCTTCGTCGTACATTTACCCCCAGTGAGGACATACGATGTTACATCACCGGGGTTACACTGCATCATCACCTGTGGTTAGCTATCGCGAACCACAGAGATCACCCCTAAGTGGTAAGAGTATACTAAATCCCATAGAAACATCAAATTCGGAGAAAAGAACTGTGAAACTGTTTTAATCGGGGAATTATACAATACTAGTATGTGGTCCTGTCTCCAACTAACGCCGTACCGGTAGAATCCAAACGTTCTGTATACAGTATATACGCCAAATGGGAGTCTACGATGATAGGAGTCATCAATCGGCTGATTTATCGAGACTTCTACTAACGTTACTACGAAGTATTAATACTAGTAGTACTAGTAATATTATTAATAATAGTACCAGTACTATTAATTCCAGGAAACAACATACTTCGAAGTACTTATTAATACTATTACAGTAATAGTACCGGTTACAAGGTACTAACTACTACGTAGTACTAATAGTAGAGCAGTATGCACAGTACTGGATGGTGCAGGATAATATGAATATCGAGTCGCTACCATTGGCTACTCGGTTATTCCGTAGCTTGGATTGGCTAAAACACTTGCCGTCCAGTTTCATTGTTCTGCATAGTATGAATACGAGTAGTATACAGTATATTGAGCGAAAATCTCCTTCCAAAGGAGAAATGTTTTGTGGACAACCCAGGTTAATCGGTGGCCCCGTAGTTGGCTTGGGGTTCGCGTGGCGTAGGTCGGACCCAGCCTGGTGGACGCAGGTAAGGCCGCACGATGCTGGCGTGCTTGGAATGGGCAATGTCTTCTTCCTGGAGGAGGAAGTTGTCGGCGTAATCGAACGCAGGACCCACCGCCTCTGAGAGCAATCCAAAGCCAGAAATCGTATCCACAGGCAACGTAGCAGCTTTCCACCACCCGGCAGGACACGTGAACTGCAGCACTTGACCCTAATTCAAAGTGTGACGAAAAGCGGTTGATGTAAGACACCTGCATACCTCGTGAAGATGGGGACCCAACACCACGTTCATGAGTTCGTCGGTGGACGGATCAACCAGAATGTACGCAATGGCTTCCCCTAAACGAAACGTGCATTGACCGAGAAAGCTTGCGATGAAGTTTTCACCTGCGTGCCAGAAATGGGAAATATCCGACTTTGCATTCACATGGACAAACATCACTGGCGACGGCTGACGCAGCATGTAGTGTATCGTGGAGAGGACAGGTCGACGCGGAGGGCCACGGCTGCCGGGCGTGTCCACTTGAAAGGTAGAGCGGTGGCGAATCGCAAAGAAACCACCTTCCTCCGGGTGAGGCGCCATCTCCAGATGCTGGATGTAGTACTCGGCGTCCATGTTGCCTCGGACCAACTCGTTCCTGGCTTCCGGATAACAAACCTTCAATAAGCCAATTTTCTATTATTTAAAAAGTACCGAGCAATACTGACCATCAATTACGAGGCATCATCTATTCATTGTTAAATAGACGATAGACTTTGATTTATCCGGATAACCATCACAATCACACTGCCATTTGAAACATGGCCAAGGAAGGAGTCCGTATCGTGTCAACGGGTGCGATCTGGGGCTATGTGATCGTGAGTCTCTCGGCCATCTTCTTCATCACCTTCATGCAAGTGCATCTCTCCTCTGGCGTTGTGATCGAGTCCAACCACGTAACTACCCATCCATCCATGCTCACGTTGCTGTAGGTACTTGATTGTGGTGGCCAAGGTGCTGCCGCCGCCGACCCCGGGTCGGTCGTTTCCCATGATGGACGCTATTCGTGGAGATCAACATTATTGTTATCTGGTGCCGCTGACGATCCCCGTGGCGTTTATCGCCATGTATGTGAGTTGGGTCAGCCTCAAGTACTTTCGGCAGAACTAGTATGTACTAACGTTTTAAGTGTTAAGCCCGACAAACTGGTTGTTGTGGATCAAGTTCTTTTCCTTGGCTTTGCGCAACAAGTACACCAAGAACGCCGCTTGCTTTGGATTGGCTCGGATGGTCGACACCTACATAAACATATACATGTCCATCCTCTTCAACGACCACACCCTACCGACAGCTCTGGCTGGCGCGTCTTTGCCGCGGCCTGCGCCACCTTGACATACTTATTGAACTTTGCACTGTGCTCTGGGTACGCTTGCGTGAACGGTCCGATCTCGTGGTTGAACATGTTGAGCCCCACGACGACGCGCCGGACGCCCGGCGGCAGCCGCGTCACGGGTGTGCTTCCGTGGGGCATGTTGCCGTCAATGAGAACCCCTTGCCGATGGGTGTATGGAACGAGGTGGTCGTGCACCTACGTTCACCACAATGATGTACAATAGTATGTATATATGTATACTCGTAGCAGCAAGTAAGTACATACATGCAGGTAGGAAGTAGTATGGATGATTGTTTTTGGTTGGAAATATATAAAAGAAACTTTAGCCAATCAAAGCGTAGGAAATAGATAAAATGAATACTTTAAAGTATAAAATACTTTTAGAATTAGAAATACCTTTATCAAAAATATACAACATTATGTTTTTGAATATGCGCATCAAATATCTGATTAGTGTATGCCTGTAAATAGTGTGAACCCAATCAACACAGAGAAATGTAAAGTACTAGTAGCTACATCACGCTTACCGTTACGGGCTGTTGAGACCCCTTGTACCCGTGAATCTACAGAATCGTGTGAATTTCCCAATTTTTATCGAAAAAATAGCATGAAATATCAAATTTAATCGAACTTTGTAATGGGACAAGCCGTCGGGATGGGCATAAAAGGCGCCGCCGTGGATCGTGTCTGCTGACAGCGGACTCACGTGTAAAGTTCCGCTGTACAGCGGCGGATACGTTATGTTGGTCTGGTACCTACATATAGTGATTTTCACCCAGTGATTGGCGCAAACAAACCGATCAAAGCAGTCTGATTGGCTAAAAAGAATGATGAATTACGATTGGCTAAAAAGAATAAATGTCAGCACAAAGGTACCTCTTAAAATTAGTTTTATATGAGTTTTTGCAGGTCCGGCGATGATTGTACGTACAGTTAGTTAATAAAATCCACCCCCGGATAAATTAATTTGGAGTAGAAAATACACTCAAGATGACGTGGTATTAAGAAGAGATCGAACAGCCATGTATTGCGAAAAAGGACCAAAATAACACGAAAAACGACCAAAAACGGCGAAAAATCGTTGAAACACACAAAGCGCATTGGAGATGGATGCACGGACCGAAACATTTCCGCATAGTCGATGTGATACGCCACGACGTCGTCGACGTCAGACGTGATGACCCACACGACAACGCCATGGGTATTGTCCCAGTCTTGGGACGGCAAGGCCTAAGACATCAACCACGTGTGAGGTTCAAGGAGGACGTATGAACCATGGACAACAAAGGCAAGGACCTGGGAGTCAACGAGGAACTCTCGGATCGCATGCAGGGCAAGGGTATGCCGCGCATGATCTTCTTTCGAGTCGGGAAATGCTTCGAGGTGCTTGTCAAAGATCTCGGTCGTGAGGACGTACACGCCCCACACGCGAACGTCGACGGCAGACGCGTACAACTGCGCCGCAAGGGACTCAGACACGGCATTCTCAGTCACGCGAAACACACCAGGAAGCGCGCGGGGTTGGTCGGTCACCATGTATCCTAGTTCAACCACCCTCGTCGATCCACATCGACGAAACGGACGTACCCGACGACGGGGTTCCGGAGGCGGACGAGGCGCCTGTGGGCTGGAAGCCGTCGTCCCATGGAACGATGTGCGGGTGGTCTTTGAACCAGGTTGGTATTGCCACGCTTGTTGTCGGGGGCGGCGGCGGCATCGTGGCCTGCATAGTTTAGGTTACGATTGAGGAGTGTGGCAAAAAAGTTGCGCAGGGCCAACATTATAGTGCATTATCCGGATTATTGACGTACGAATTCGGATATTGTATCCGTTGTCCGGATAAAAGGGCTATTTATAGAGTTCGGCCTTTTTGTGACTGTCAACTTGAGAGTCAAATCCAGTTTCCAATGAAGCAAGTGTTCATGAGAATCCACAAAGGCCTCAGCAATGCTCACAAGTAATATATATATATAAGCAATACATATATATTACTAGGCCTGGATTCGTATATATATGAATCCAGGCCGTAGCGTGCATGGCTGTTCTAATTACAGGCTGCACCGGTAGGATCCAGATTTGTTGGTTGAATTCAAACAACTCAGTGCCATACACCACTACTCTCGTCGCTAATATCTCGCAAGCTCACGTAGCAGCGGTTCGAGAGACGTCGTCACATTGCACATACGACTCACGCTCCATGTCACCATCGCTCGATACACATGGAATCCAACAGGAAATTCGCAATTGTTTTCAACGACCAGCGGCCACACTTTCAACGTGCCATGTTCTCGCCTGCTTGATACACCGCTCCGTACCAACTAGGTTGGAGCCTATCCCTGTGGCGCCAACGAGTACATAATTGGTTTCTTCAAAGGATATTGATGTCCACTTCGAGTTTACGGCAAAGAATTCGCCGCACGAGCCTGGGGAAGAATATTGCATTACAAAATCTTGGTTAGCCACCACGTCCACAGCATACGACACACATCTCTCTCTCTCTCTCCCTTGCTGGTAACTGGAGCCAACGACGAAAGCTCGGCAGTAACAAGACGACTGTGCGAGCTTTGTTAGTACATATACTACATAGTGCCGATATATTCAATCTACAGTACATTTGTACAGATTGTCCCTTATATAACTAAGCTTAGCTCAGATATCAAGATGCTTCCGTAGCACTTGACAGAGATCCCAACGTGCGACCCCGTCAGTAATCTCAGCGACTCCATGACCCCATGCCGAGACGGCAGCAGCCGTGTGTGGATCGAGCAGGGGGTTCTCGCTGCGAGGGCCAATCAGTACGATGACCTCGACGTGAGGGTACGCATGAAGATACGTGACTAAGAGAGACGGTCGGCGGAGGTACACGGCCAGAAGGGCCGACACATGCAGATCATGCTTGTCGTCTGTATCAATGACGGAGGCGTCGTCGCGAACAAGGCGGAAACAATCCCAAAGAAAAACGTCGATTGGGGCCGTGTCCACGCCAAGAACGCTCATACGTTCATGTGATGGTTCAACGGGGCCAAGATGACGAGCTAGAAGCATTTCAAAGAGCCCTGACCCGCTGCCAATGCTCAGCACTGTTCCACTCGACGCGACAATGGGTTGCAGCCACGGTCGCAACGAGTCGAGAAGGATCGAAGACGGATTCACGCAGCAGAGGGATGTTCGCGTGGAAGATGCATCTATCACAGATTGCATGCCATCAATATCATCTTGAAGAAACAGCCTCCTGAGGGTGTCGGCAGGGGAGTCGCCGCCGTCGTTCGAGTACAACGGCAGATGGCGACCAGAATACATTTCACGAAAACCAATGAAAAACTTGCATATATAATGTGAATGTGATATTTGATATTTCGTATAAACTTCAGAAATTCGCGTGGTTGATTGCATCACGCCGGAAGTTCGGATTGGCTGAATATACTTGTGCTTTCTAAAAGAGCCAATCAAATCTACTCAATATTGGATTAGCCAATAGCGTCGATTCATGTTTCGATCGGATATTTGATTCGACAGGGTCTGGAAATTTGTACCGAATCCACCATACTAATAGTACTATAAATTAACGCTTTTTTTCTCAAAATAGTAGTACATTTCACGAAAACCAATGAAATCCATGATACAAATGTCGTTCTGATGTATTAATATCACTTAACAAATATTACGTAGTCATATTTACTGTTAAAGTACAGTAATTATACTTAAAGGTGTGAGACTTACGACATACATTGTACATCTACTTTCACAGTAATGCTGGCCGACGCGAGCGTGACGACCATTCTGACCACGACAACCCAAGACATGGCATTTCATATTGGATTACCACTCTCGATTCGAAATAAGTTCTTCTACATCCACGTCAAAGCCATAGGCAGCGGCGATGAACCCTATGTCAGACCCAATGGCGTCTCGTGCGACTGTCTCCAACATACTTCCACGGGCTTCGAATTCTTCTTCAAGCTCGTTGAACGATTCCGTGGTGGCATGCGTCAAGTCTAGCAGACCGGCAGGGGTTAACGGCTTGGCTTCTTCGATGTCGTCGCACAATTGCCGCAACAGCTGCTTCCCCTTGAGTACGAGGTCCGGGGGAAAGTACGAGTCGCGCTCCAAGTCCTTGAGGAACTCATGCGCTAGGACCTACGTGACGTCAATGATTGCGTGGACTTCGCGCATCACGAGCAGCAGGAACCAGACTTACCTTGGCGTTGGTCGGCATGATGATTGTCGTTGGTGCGAGAACCTACGTATCCGGAAACATTTATCCGTAAAAAAGGTCATATCCGGACGAGATCGTATTTTCGAAAGGACACTCGAGGTTCGAGATTTTGAGGCCGCGACGATGCTCGTTCTCGGTGGGCTCGTGGCGCTTCTGGCAGGCGCGTCGGATGCTTTTCTGTTTGGCCGGAATGCCAGAGCTAGCACCAACACTACGTCGGTGCCGTACAAGGACGCGTTTGATGCTGTGGAATCGGCCAACTTGTCGCATTCGTACAACGTGATTGCGCAGGTATGTACTCTGTCCATCGCACAGCCAACAACTCGTTCTCTAAGCCCACTCGGCCGCAACTGTGATACAGGTGCACTTGCAGAACTTTGAGTTCAAGTACGATTCGATCCCGGGGCGGCGGCAGCTCGGGCTCCTCGCGTCGCCGTCGCTCAAGGATTTGCTGCAGGACGGCATCCACGTCTATGCCGAGCGGCACGTGTTCACGCAGGACAAGCACAAGGTGACGATCCAAAACTTCCACGCTGTGGACAAGGACGCGCTGTTCATGCACAACGTCGGCGCGACGCAAGTGCTGATCCGTCGCGCGGCGGAAGTGCAGATGGCGCTGCGGAGTCTGGCGTCAGAGGTAGCAACCGCCCAAAGCCAGTTGACGCTGCTGCAGGGCCATTTGGAGACGGAGGCGTCAGCGGTGTTGGTCGAACAGCGCAAGATCGCCGAAGCCGGGGTCAAGCACGTGGAGCTCGAGATTGAAAAAGCCAAAGTCCAAGGTACCGCGGCCGCTTGCTTATGGACGGTATACGACGACCAGTACTGTAGGCATGGAAGACCGGTTGTCGCTGGATGTAAAGAAAGAGAACGAGCTGGCTGTGGCCGACAAGCAGCATGCGCTGCACACGGAACGCATTCAATACGAAGACATCCAACGTCGAGCGCAGAACAAGGAGCTGGTATTGTCCTTTTACCTAAAACTTGGCAAAATCGCCAAATCTATCGACCAATTTTGGCTTTTTTGTACTGAATTTTGTAAAATGTAAACAGATGGTTTATATCACACTAATTGAAGTCACACCCTCATTCGCCGTTTCCTGCAATTTGATTGGCTAGATTCTTCTATCCATTATTGTAGTATTTGGTTGGGTCGATTATTCATTCTCCATTTTAGAATCAACACAACAAGATTGTGCATAATTTTCACAAAAGGTGGGAATTCTTAAGCTTGTACAAACTATACCATACAACATGTAGTATATAGATTAGATTCATGGTAAATCAGTAGTTTGGATTGGCAGAAATGCTGCGACAGAACGTGATTTGATTGGCTTAGGCGATATATTTTGAATCGATTCTCTCAAGACAATCGATCTCCAGTTTCGAATCGATTTGACAATAATACCATAATATAGCTAATAACTACATGTTATATGTGCCTTTATGATGTAGCCCGGTCAGTGGTGGTGTTGTCGTGTGGTTCTTGATTGGATGGTCAGGGGTGACTGTGATTCCAGTACAGTGGTAGAATTCTATTGGGTTTGTCGATGTCGTTGGTTTACACAAAATCATATAAAGCAAGCATAGTTACCATCATATAAGCAAATGACAATATATGATCATTGTGTGGTTTATATAGGTGGACCTGCAAGAAGCCGCAAACCAGCGCATGGAAGTCCAGCGCCGCAACACGGAGACGATCCTCAAGGAGAAGCAACTGGCGGCGGACAAGGAGCGTATGTGGGTTGAGCAGAACACGACACTCGAGAAAGCTGTCATCGACGTCGAAGGCCGCATCAAGCAGCAGCGATTGAACCACGATATTGAAATGCAACAGCTTCAAACTACGTACGAATCTATATAAATATATATACATCAAATCCGCACAGACGTCCAAAATAGATTGGCGAAAGGACAATATATATAGGACAATGTCAATATATATATATTTATATATATATATATATATATAGGACAATATCAATATATATTTACATATATTGATAATACAAACGTCCAAAATAGTTTGGCTAAAGGACAATATCAATATATATATATATATATTGTCCTATATATATATATATTGATATTGTCGGTTCCGCCAAACTATTTTGGACGTTTGGTTTGTAGTTTTTAGCCAAATGCATCGATCGATGGGTTGTACTGAATTTTTTTAGTGTGTCAACATATATTCTTCCCCCATGGTTGATGTAGTATCTCGTCTTATTAATTATTGAAATATGTCACACTTGAATTCGTTCGTGATTGGTTGAATTGATGATAGTTTTCGTGCAGCAATCCGATTGGCTACATTCTTTTGGTTGGTGTATGAGTACATACATTTTAGAATCACGAGATAGCAAACACACCATATTATGTAGACTCGCCGCAGAACAAGAAAAGATCCTACGGGCGCTCCAAAGTGCCTTTGACAACATTGGCAGCGGCGTCATGACGCTGCTAGCTGACTCGGACAAGTTGATGCATTTCGTCGGCACAGTCGTTGCCATTGCGTGTGGTATTTACCTGACTAGGGAAACCATTCGCATTGTGGGCCGCCTCGTGGAGCAACGGTACTACACTTTATAGAGTGAAAATGATGTGAACCAGTTTATTGTGCAAATTTCGAGTGAAATTTCATTGTGGTGTGGTTTCTCGTTGGAATTTAATCGATTTGATTGGCTACCTCAGATGAGCTCAAAATTATTAGCCAATCAAAACCCATTTATCAATGAAATTCAACCAATCAGATCGATTGTGGATCGGTTTGGTCGGCGAGATTCGATGCACCCCCTCCCCAGATTTGTATCAAATCGACAATAGTCGATCGACTAACGTAGAATCATCGTATTACATTGATATTATGTTAAAATGTAAAAAAAAAAGATAAGAGATCAAACTGGAAGGTGTGTGTGGGCGAGACGACATCTTGTCTTTGTTATGCCAAAACTTTGGCTGCTTGAAGGTTGTCCTGTGGTGATTGGTACATCACAGTAATTGAAGTCACACACTAATTGATGTTATTGAGCTATCGTGTCCGGCAATCTGATTGGCTAAAAAGGCGTGTGCCGATTCTTGTGGAGTACATTTGTTTGGTTGTGTCGATTCATTCATTCTCCATGGCGCTTCTCCAGTTTAGAAATATATACACACGACAATACTATTATAATATTGTTTGCATGGAGCGCAATCAAATTGGACATTTTTTTATGATTCGCCAAAAAACGATATCGATCGATGGTTTGTACTGACTGTTTGATGTATATAACAATACGTGTGTCATATACGAACTCGAGGTTGCGTGGTTGGGGAGAAAGAGATTGATTTTGATTGGATATTGGATTCGTGTTGTGGGTTTTGATTGGTCGATTATCAATACTCTCAGCCATGTTGTGCATACGAAATGGAGTTTCTTTTCAATTGAATCGATCGTCGAGATGGACTATCACGTTATTCGAAATATATATTTATTTTATATATATATTATATATTATATATATATATATATATATATATATATATTTATTGCATCTAGTTCACTATGACAATTGTAGCAGTAGCTCGTGTGTTCCATCATCCTGTAGAATACATTTCCTAGCTTGATCATCGTACACTAATTCCTATCATGACCTTCATATTATCGTACATAATACCTTTTACCTGATCATCCAATGTTATTGTAGACTTGGAAAACCGTCGCTCATTCGAGAAACCTCTAGACAAGGAGGGTTACTTGGATGGTTTCGCAGCTGGTTCCAGGCTCCCGTAGGTCTCGAGAGCTTTCAGGACGTGGTCGTGCATGCAGCGCTGGAGTCGCGACTGTTGGGGCTCGCGCGAGCTACCCGGAATGCGGTTCGTACAGACGATTTATATATATATATATATTGTCCTTTTACCCAAATTGTTTAGGACTTTGGTGTACTGATTCGCTATAATATATATATATATATATTGTCCTTTTACCCAAATTGTTTAGGACTTTGGTGTACTGATTCGCCAAACCTATCGATTGATTTTCTTGTACTATTGACTTTTGGTTGTAAAGATCGTCCAGTATCACACTAATTTCAGTCACACATTAATTCGGTGTTATATTGGTCGAAGAGTGGATAATTTGATTGGCCACTTGATTCGTGTTGTGGGATTTGATTGGTCATACATATCGATTGTCTGCCGATTTGGTTATTCTGCTCATTCGATTGAGAAGCCTACTCCACGTTTCAAATCGACTGGACAATATATCACTCGCATTGGTGGTAGTATATCATGATATATATTTGTACAACGTATATTCGATTCCAAAAGAAGACTAATAATAATAATAAAATAGAAAAAACACAACGCGCCGTACCGGCATCTGCTCTTGTATGGTCCCCCTGGAACAGGCAAGACGATGGTCGCCAAGCGATTGGCGGCAGCGTCAGGCATGGATTACGCAATCATGAGCGGGGGTGACGTGGTACGTACGAATGAATGGCCAGGAATCACCGGGGCGATATTCCCATACAAAATGGACGGATACGTTGAAGTTGGATCAACTTAGATATATATAAACGAGTGATTGAATGCGGATGTGTGATGGGGTAAGTTTTGATATGTAGGGGCCATTGGGAAGTGACGCTGTCACAGAGCTCCATGCGCTGTTTCATTGGGCCCAATCCTCGCCACGAGGTAAGTTGCCAAAATGTCATATCAACAGCTCTGTCTATATATCTTCTCGTTTATTAATAGTACTAGTACTATTAGTATATACCGACAAATATCGAACGAAAACATTCATATATATATGAGTTATATAAACTAACTGATCTCGAACGAAAAGCATTCATATATGAGATATATATACTGGCAGACCTCGAGCTAAAGCACTCATATAATATATACATCGATTGAGAGAATTAATATATATGAATATTCTTTTGAGATATATCAGTATATATAATAAATGTAGATCTTGAATCGAACGAGGTCGATGTCGAATATTCGTTCCATGAGAGTATGCAATTATATGTTCAATATAGGAGTGTTGATCTTCATCGACGAAGCCGAAGCATTTCTGGGCTGTCGCGCCACGCGCAAGACGCACATGAGTGAAGCTATGCGGAATGCCCTAAATGCACTCTTGTTCCACACGGTACTGGGTTCAAACGAATATATATATATATATATATACCAACATCATGATGGATTCACGTGATTTTATTATTGATTCACGTGACTTTATGATTATTTCAAGTGACTTTATGATTATTTCAAGTGACTTTATGATTATTTCAAGTGACTTTATGATTATTTCACGCGACTTAATCATTATTTCACGTACTGGGTTCAAACGAATATATATATTTACCAACGCCATGATGGATTCACGTGATTTTATGACGGATTCACGTGATTTTATGATGTATTCACGTGATTTTATGATTGATTCATGTGACTTTATGATTGATTCATGTGATTTTATGATTGATTCATGTGAACACCATGTAACCCGTGGAGGTAGGGCACGCAAACCAAGCAGTTTATGCTCGTAATCGCTACCAACCGCCCGGAGGACTTGGACACGGCCATCACCGATCGGATCGACGATGCACTCCTGTTTGATCTGCCGGAACCGGCCGAGAGACTGCGCCTTATGCGGTTGTATTACCATGGTACTTACTGTATATTATATATATATAGGACGTATATCTATTTTGATTAAAAAACACTCAGCCGCCGACCCATATATATATATATATATACGGGGAGATGTTACGTTGACATACAGTATCGTCATCCCAATGACATATCATTTTTTCTGGGGTATTTATTGGATGATGCGATAATAGGGTCATATTTTGACTAGATGTGTGTGTCAAGCATATAATTTTCTCTATTCTGAATCACATTTTTTATATGCATTTGGACAACGCGATATATATTGTAACCCTACTGTCCTGATATATATTATCTGTGACAACGTGTAGAATGCGTGGCTTCATTGCCTGGCGGAGACACTTGCGTGGGCGTACTGGACCAGTACGACAAAGCTACCGACGGCATGAGTGGTCGTGAGATCGCCAAGATGATGCTGTACCTGCAGAATATGGCGTACGCGCAGGACGTTGTCGGCATCGACGCGGCGCTTGTGGGCCGTGTCATTGTCGATAAAATCGACGAACACAAGAGAAAGGCCGAGTTGAAATCGTACAAGGACGACACGCTATCGTCGCAGTAAAAAAATTAATAGCGAACGCATCCTCTCTATATATAATATATATATATATATATATTGGTAATTCGATTTCAAAATGGCCTGAGGCTGCCAATCGATAATCGACGAAGCAAAATCCACGCACCAACGTGGCGAATGAAATTATCGAATAAAATCCTTTCGACCAATCAAATCGTACAAGTATCCCGTGCATTGTCATGCTTTTCCATTTCATACTGAGTTCAAGATTGTTTTTACAGGGAGTATATTTACTGTGTCTCGATGACTTCAGGTAGATTTGACGTCGTTCGTCGAATCTACCGAAAATAGTACCAAGTTTAACTTGAAAGCACAATTTATATCGTGGATTCGCTACTACCTTTAAAACTCTGCGTGTCTTTTCGATTCGATGTGGCATCTCACTGGAACTTATGATTGTCTGAATATACTTGTAATATGCTCTGTAAGAGCGAATCACATATCAACTCAAAATTGGATTAGCCAATAGCGATTCGATTATTCGGCGCCGAGAATCGACTCGACGGGGTCTCTGGAAATTTGTACCGAATCCACTATATATATATTAATTATTCCACAGGAAAACCCAACCACGATTGGTGTATAGCCATTTCTGCGTGCACAACCCGTAGTTTGCATGGAGTAGCGCGCCTCTGTTTGATAGTTAACAACTATTGTCAAGTGAGTGGGGGAAGCGTGCTCCATCGAATGAGCTGCACCAACTCGGCAGACAATCGAAAATCGACCAATCAAAACCCAGATCACTAATCAAGTAGCCAATCAAATCCACTCTTGGACCAAATCAACAGCGAATTAGAATGTCACTAAAATTAAACTCGATATCATCCGTCGTTAACGTTGATTGCATCGACTAACCCAACCCCGTTGTTGTCAGCTTTCATGGGTTTTATTGTTTGCATTACATGTAACTGGCACTTGACACCACTGCCAGTGTACACCATTCATTCAGCCCATTCAAAAGTACTGACGCTTTACTCGTTTATACATGGCTATCGCTGCTACGTTCGAGCATCGCCAGCCCTTGGGGGGTTTGCATAGACGCATACTCTTCTTCGTTTCGCCTCGCCTCATTCGTCGGCCCATCCTCTCCCATCCTGTGGCATGTCGTCTCCTGCTCTATCGCATACTCCCCCCCCCCTGGTCGTTGTCGTCGTGATGATATGCCAGTATCTTCTGGACGCTTGAGCATCGGGAACAAGTTCAAACTCGAGCGGGGGGTCACCGGGTCCACACTCAAAAACGTGTCAAAGTGCCCCGTGTCGTACGTCGAGTCGGATGCAAACGACGATACCTCGTCTACTTCATCGTCCCCATTGTCCATCATACTCGGCCGAGGACGATGCCGCTTGGGGGGGACCTCGTGCAGGTCGTGAATCAGGTCCCGCACCACTCGCTTCTGAAACCTGTCGGCGTACTCGTGCGGAGCCACGACGCTGATCCCGAGCCGGTCCTGGCCACACAAATACACGCGCACAAAATGCTCCAATCTCTTGCGAACGTTCCACTGCTGCAGAATGTCAATCAAACCCACAAAGTACACCCCCGGACCGTATACTTGCTCTACGCCCATGCCGCCGTGGTGAAACGATGTCGCATATAATGGAGACTCGTCCGAGTCAAACGATGTCGCATATCGTGGAGACTCGTCCAACGCTGTGTGGGTGGTCGTGTTGGTTGCCATGGCGTCTAGCACACACGCCCCCAGTGTGTCGGACGGGCCGTCGACTGGCCTCGTGTCTACGAAAATGCGTTTTTGATGCGGTGAGGAGGGGCAAATATGTAGCTATATATATATATATATATATATATATATATATATATATATATATATATATATATATATATATATATATATATATATATATATATATATATGGATACGAATGCATAGATATATATGAGCTGGTCAAATGTGTAGATATATATATATATATATATGGATGCACTTGGAGCAGTTGAAATGCATATAACATTTTGAAACTGCGTGGTGGATGCAATTCCGAGTTGTTCATAACATATACTAGTATATATATATATATATATATATATGAATATATCTTGTGGATGCAATACCCAGTGGTTCATAACGTATATATATATGAAGGTATCATCTGGCGGATGCAAATCCGAGTGGCTCAGATATATATATATATAGTAGTGGTTCAAATACATACACACGTGTGCATATGTATCTAGGTCGATGCAATTACAAATATGGTTTACACTCATATATATATATATATATGGCACACAACGGATAAAGCCAAACTCGGTTCCATACATCAATAAAACCCCAACAAGCCAGGTAGGTAGGTATGTATTACGAACCCCAATATAATATTTCGGGTATTTTACCTGGTTGTGACGGGGTCGAGTGTTTTCTACCCCCCACGTGAAATGTACGGTGGTGGATACCCACGAGCAGTGAGTAATCGATGCAGTTAATTTGGCTAAGGAACGTCGAGTCCGTGTGCAGTTGCTTGGCCACTTGCGCCGCAACGGGGCGGGGCAGTTTGACGTGGTGGTTCCAGTTCAAATCCTTGCCCACGTTGTCATACTGGTGCCGCAGCGTGCCGTTATTGCTGCGCACGTCGCACAGTTGGTCATGGGAGCCCCCGATTATGTACTCGTTGCCGCAGAACTTGCACATGGCGGCCGTTCCGCGCGTTTTGCGGCCTTCAAGTCGGCCCACCCACGACCCCTACCAGTCCATATATGTGAGTTAAATCATAGAGGGGGGTCTATAATATACGGGGGACGGGGGGGGGGTCTATGATCTCGTGGATGTATGTACTAGATGGATCGTCATATATCTACCTTGAGATCGAATCGTTCGTGGATGGGCAACCGTGTATCAAAGACACTTTGCATGACAATGAAAAACATGGTTTTGCCATACATAGTGAGCGCGTGGCAGCCGAAAAATCGAGTGACAAACGTGTCTGGATTGGCCGACATGAATCTATAAATCCATAGATATATATGTGAATAAATCAATATAATTGTTTCAAGAGTCCGAAAAAACAATATATTGGAATCATCTAGTGTCCAATCGATTCGAAACTCGAGCCAGCCCTGTGTACAGAAGAAGAATCGAATGGCCAAAGAGAATGAAGAACCGCCTAAGCCAATCAAAGTACGTAATTTAGTTGAGTTTCTGCCAATCCAAACGTTGTTTGACCCCTCCGCTTATTGGGCAAAACCACATACTATATACTCATCGTTGTATTGTATAGTTTGTTCGAGCTGAAATGAGAGATCCATTGGATTCGAATGCTCATTCTCGTGAATTCACTCGCAAGTTAAAATTTGGGTGAAATGCACTAATATCTATTTACGCCAGATAATTACTAGTCTCGAGCTTCGCAATATTCGTCTAGGTTACACAGAAGGAACTACTAGTATATATGAATGGACGCAAAGAATGATATATATATATATATATTGAAACAACCGACCCATACGTTAATAAACGTTGTCCATTCAACTCGTTCGAAAGTAAGTGTATATCATTCATTTTCTTTGTAATTTTTATGGTTTGATTTGTTACGAATCAAACAAAGATCCTTCTTCCAAACGATATATTCAAATATATATATATATTATCCTTTGGAAAAAGAACAAAAAAACAGCCCCAGCTAACCACCACAACACACCGGCGGACGCGATATATATATCGTAATTCAATACTAACCTTGGTTTTATGTATAAAATATAATATATATATATATAGATTTCGAATCTGAAAATACCCAAAACCCCAACACACATCCACTATTCGAATGCAATTAATATGATAAACCAGTCGATCGTACGTGACGTATTTGGGCAAAATCTGCAGCAAAAACTTGAGCTCTTCATGTGTGAGGGTCTTGACGACATATTTTCGGTCCTGGGTAAAGTAAAAGAAGGCGCCGCTTTTGCCTTCACTCACGCGCTCCTTGGTCGTTTGCTGGAGCGAATCTCGGTAGCTGGCATTCGAAATGTTGGCGCAGCTGCGGAGGAAGCGGAATATGTGCGGCGCGTAGTCATAAAAGACCACTGTAGCTGCAGACGAAGAGCAACTCAGCGGAATCTCCTCGATCTGCGTGTACTTGATATGGCGGTCTGTGCTGTGACCGTGGATAGCTTCCATCTCGGCGCGCTCAATCGATTCGCAAATGCCCTTGGTTGTGTTGGTTAGAATTTCCAATCGCAAAGCCCAGTTGATACTTGTGTCGTGGGGTGGCAAATCCACGTGCCTAAGATGTATATATATTTCAGATTTGGAACGAAAAAGATAATACAAAAGAAATATAACGAGTAGATGAAGTGGTAGTTTCTGGGATACATACTTGGCAAAGCAACGACGTGTCATACCGTAAACAACAAAGACACACGAGGCACACATACCAAGCTTATATCTCTGTACGAGAAATACTCTTCTCATATATATATGTATATATATCGTATTTATTTCTCAAGTTCATATATGTGTCACAGTACAAGACACTTCGGACTCATATATATATATATATCCAATTTTTTATTTCTCATGTTCATATAGCTGTGTACAACTAGTACAGTACAAGACCCTTCTCACTCATATACTCTTATACGTATATAAATATATACATATATATGTTACGTATAGCGACGATGACACTAACCAGTACCACGATATGAAACGAACCCCCCCCAATACAAATCACCACTCGTTTCTATCATGTATATATATCCCCAGAGATAAATATATAACCCAGTTTGCAGAGCACGATGAAACGTACCCAAACTCTCGTAGTTGGTGGATGATCTTGAGTATATTGGACGTTCGCGTCCAAATTAGCGAATTTACCATCCCTTTGGCCAATAGTACGCTCGACAGACACTTCCATAGAAGGCACTTGTGCGGAGATTCGTACGGAACGATCGTGTAGACGGCATATGTGACAAGTACGCCCGTCCAGTAAAACACAAAGCACCCGACGTAGTACTTGAGGTGCCGGTGGATGCTAATGGGCACACCGTGTCACATGGTATTATGGAATACGCATGATACCACAATCGATATACGACCAATCAAAACCCCGAACGCGAATCCAGTAGCCAATCAAATTATCCACTCACATTCGACCCATTCAACGACAAATTCGTGTGAGACTAAACTTAGGACGATTTTTATATCCAAAAGTCAGTGCAAAGAATCAATCGATCGATGATAGATTTGGCGAATCAACACAAAAGTTCAAATTTTATATATATTGTCCTTTGATATATATATATATATAGTCCAAAGTGCACCCATTCAGTTCTGTGACACTGTCGAAATCACAACCAAACAACGTAGGATGACATATTGGTATTGTGCTTGTAAACTGGAGCGAGACACGACCAAATAAATGTACAGCACACAAGAGAAGGATATATTTAGCCAATCATATTGCAGGAAACAACCATCAAACAACATCAATTAGTGTGTGACTTCAATTAGAGTGATACCTATCACCACAGGACCTTCAACTTTAGGTATACAAAGAATCGATTGCAATTCATGTCACTGTATCTCAACGATCGCGTCACGAGAACGGTATCGCAGATCACACGAATTGCCTCTACCAATGGACTAGTACGACATATATATATATATACTATGTACCCTGTCGCAGATATATTGTAATATCTCCCAACTAGGACGACATGCCGAAAACGCAGAAATATATACACAATCGTCGTTGTACCGATCTCGAGTTGTAAACGTGTCGGGCAGGCCCTTGAGCAGCGTATTCCACGTGCGCAGTATCGCATATAGTGACGTGGTGTAAATGAGCAAAATGTACAGCGCAAAGAAGAGGCCAGCGGGGGGGGACCGCGCTGAGCTCTTGTCCTTCAACGATGCCGTCGCGACATCCATCCAGCAAAACCCAAACAGCGCAAAGTGGTTGTCGCATCTGGAAATACCCGCAAATATCAAGCTACACAAAGAGCCATAGTATGACGTGGCAGAAGCCTCATAAGGGCTCGTACCTCCACACGCAGCCTGCGATGTGGTACCGATTCATTTGGCCCTTGGACGCGGTAAAGGGGTTCTTGAGTGCGAGCAACAAGTCGATCGCAAAGATGAGCATGTACGTTTCCTGGCCTGTGAGGAAGAAGTCGACTATGAACGGCACGTCGCGGCACGCAGCAGACGGCGTGGCGTGCGACTCGACAATGTACATGAACTGGTACACGGCGCCATACACGGACATGCCAAACATGATGCCGGCGGGATGCTGCCGCAGTGCTGGGACGTACATGTAGGTGACAATCACGTAGAGACAGCCGCAGAGGGAGAGCAAGGACACGGACAGGAGCAGCATCGCTTGGCCTTCCGTGACGGAGCACTCGATGGAGCTGGTGGTGCTCATGCCGCGACCAACGAGACTCGAGATGTGCAGCACACCAGACAAGAGGGAATATCGAGCCAGTAATCTCCGTCGCGGCGTGCTTTGAGTACACGTCGGAGGTTGGTTCCACGAATATGCTGCGGCGACGGTTACAATCACGAAACGAACTCTGGACGTATTAAAGAACCATTTAAGAACCGGATAGAGTAAAAGACAGGTTGCAGGATAAATGATTTAAAATGTTTCAAAGCGAATAATCAACACGATATAGACTACTGTATGTAGTATACTTTCATACCGAATTTAAAACACGTGGTGAATGGTTTTGAATGGTTTTTTAAATTCCCTATCGGTTGTTATAATGCCCAGACTCGGGTGTCTTTTAATGTGGACTGTTTTTTAAATTCCCTAGCGGGGATATTTAACGTTATTATAATACGTCGAATGTCTTTTAATGCAGAGATTACTTGCGCATTATTGTTCTGACGCCGCAACTACCCTTCTTCCACCAAGCACATGCATGACGTCAACCTCGTCGAAGCGCAGGACATGCAACACAGGAGATACAGATGATGATGGGTGAGGTCCGTCGATTATTTGCCCAAGTGTTCCCGCAGCAGAGCTTTCATGTCCTCGTCGTACTCGTCGGCGGCGCTCGGCGAAGCGACGGTCGGGCCGTGGTTTGGGTACTTGTCCTGTGTGGGGTAGAGAGGGCGACATGAATGAGCGAGGGAAGGACGATGGATGGCCACCAAGATTGTACGCACCTTGTAGCGGTTCAACATGGCATTATGCAGGTCTCGGAAAGACACCTTCTCGTTCTCGGGTTGTTTATATGTAAGGGGGTTGAGTTCCTTGGGAAACGGTCCAGATTGTGCTGCCGGCGCCGGCGCCTTCTTTGCTTTGCGGTTGCGCGTGCCGTCGCCTGGGAATAGCAAGCGTTAGGATTTCAAAAGTCCAGCGGCGTTCACTCATGTGTACCTTTGATCATCTCGTCCGTGTCGATTTCTTCGACTACATGTCCTTCGTCTTCATCGTCGGTTTCCTCATCGCCGTTGTCACCTTCGTCCTCGTCTACCATGAGTCCTGGACGCAGCACAGGTCGCTCCTACCCACACGGGTCAGTTGCAGCAGTCACAAGGTGTTCGTCCTTACCTTGGGCGCGGTGTCTTCCACGGCGGCAGCGCATCTTGTCGCCATCAAGTACAAGATGCCTAGTACCACCACATACCCCAGAAGGCGGCTGTAAAACTCCAAGATGGACGGAAGGATGAGCGGCGGGGCACCGCCGTCGACATTTTCGTCATGGTCGTCCATGTTGTTCCTTTCACACCGTTGCTTTTAACTGCTTTTGACATGCTTGTTTAATGAAAACGCGTTTTAAACATTTTCGAAATACATTTAAAATAAAATTACTCTGCACTTGCTAGATAGCAAACCTACTGTTACTGTAGTATTTAAACATTTAAAAACAACATATTTAAAATTATGGGCGTTTGAAACACTGTGCAGCAAAGCTGTCCAACAAACATCGCCATGTTCTTGGCACGGCGCCAACGTTGTGGCCTGTTGGCATTGCGGCGGCAGCCCGCGTTCGTCCAGCGATGGAAAAGCACCGGAGGAGGGTCCGTAGTTCCAGTGGAGATTCAGCTCACACCTGCGGAAGAGAAGTTGTTTGAGGTGTTGCAGTTTGTCCGCAAGAAGTATGCGCCGTCCGCGACGTTGCGGGTGGCGGGCGGGTGGGTGCGGGACAAGGTGCTTGGGATTCCCAGCGACGACATCGACATTGCGCTGGACACCATGACCGGCGAGGCGTTCGTCAAGGTAGACGACGCCGCCTCCCTACATGATCATCTCACCAATGTCATTAGAAAATCGTTGCGTTTCAAAAGGCATGTGGGGTGCCCATCAAGGGGTTTTACATCGTCAAGAAGAACGCCGAGCAATCCAAGCACCTCGAGTGCGCCGCGATTAAACTGCTCGGTCACGAGCTGGACTTTGTGCACTTGCGCAGCGAAAGTTACAGCGACCCGACGTCGCGCATCCCGACCTTGTCGGGTACGTGGATGAGGTTTCTGCATAGAATCGAATATGATGCTGATGTAAGTTCTTCCATTAGACGTCCTCGCCACGCCCAAGGAAGACGCCATGCGTCGCGACATCACGATCAACGCGCTCTTCTACAACCTCAACACCAAGACCGTCGAAGATTTCACTGGTCAGGTCCGTGAGTATATTTATTTTTTCTTGGGCACTCCAGTATAAATCTATCACTCATATATATCATGATATATATATATATATACAACGTATATTCGAATTTGAATGCATGAGGCGTACACTATATATCGCCAATTGAATACAGTTGCGCGTGTTCTAGTCACGTTTGGTTTATTGCCGTGTTTATAAAAATAAAGTGGATTAGACCATTTGTAAAGAAAAATAATATCTCCTTGATTTACAATAAACCATATGTGAATATATAAAATATGGATGATATAATTCGTTGATCATTTATTTATTTATTATTTTTCCATGATCATTTATTATTGTTCCATGAGTTCCTATTATTCTTGTTTCAAACTAGGTGAGTAGTGTATCGTAGGATTGCGATGTTCCCTATATACTAGTATGTGTTGTTGATGGCAGTGTTTCGATAATGGCGGGGTTGTATGGCACTACTTAGTGACAAGTGTATGACTGGCTACTACTAGTAGTACATACTAGTAGTAGGTTTCGGGGGTTATGGCACTAATTAGTGACATGGTAGGGCCTGTCAGACCTCCATCGCCAAGTGATTCGCACGCCGCTGGCTCCGACGGACACTTTCTTGGACGACCCCCTTCGTGTGCTTCGCGCCATTCGATTTGCCAGCCATTACGACTTTAAGCTCCATCCGTCATTGGTTCAAGTATGTGTTTTGCGTAGATATATATATACTATTACTCTTTCGTCTATACGTTGGATCCATATATATATATATATTGTTGTGTTTATTCGAAACTGGAGCGACATGGAGAATGAATCAACACAACTAAAATAAATAAACAGAAGAATCATATCGGCAGAAATAATATTTTGAGCTAATCAGGAAACAACCATCAGCATCAACGTCAAATTAGTGTGTGATACTTCAATTAGTGTGATATACCAATCACCACAGACGACACGTTTTTTACGTACAAAATTCAGCAATACAAAGAAAATCGATATCGATCAATTAGCATTTTTCGGTAAATGGATAATATATATTTATATATAACAGTCGTCGACACTTGTCATTTAGGCCATGCAGTCATCCCAAGTCCAGGGAGCGCTGACGCAAAAAATAACGCGGGAGCGGGTGGGTATTGAGCTTCGCAAGATGTTAAGCGGCGCCAACCCGAGCCTCGCCTTGCACTGGATGTGCCAAGCTAAGCTCTTGCCTATCGTGTTTCCAACCTTCTTTCATCGGTACTTTTGCTAGATGTATTACTGTGCATTGCATTCAGATTTAGACGACTTGCTGTACCAATTCTTAGCCTTCGAATCCAGTTGGCCGCCTAATTTAAGCTTGAACAAAAACTGTACTATACAAATATTACTGTATTTTTGTGGTTTTGCGGACCCTCCAAAGATTGGATTGGCAGAAATTCAACAGAATTACGTGATTGGATTAGGCGGTTCTTGAATCCATTCTTTTTAAAATGACACTATATGTCAACTATATGCGGTGGGATTGCTACTATGTAATATGACAAAAATGAATATTCAAGGGCAGTGTCTATGGTGCTATTTGGGAATCCTACAGACTACTATAGTAAGTAGTATGTGGTTGTATTATCAAACAACCATATTTTATTGTTTATAAATTCATAAGTACTCGAAAAGCCTACGATTAAAATATTATTAAATATATTATTATTATTTTCAAGGTTTCTTGATGATTTCTTGGAAAGAATCGAGTTTTGGCATTCGAGTCGCAAACGAGTTTGTACTACCTCGACAAAATGATGTTTGCCATGGCCTTGAAATATATATATATATATATATTAATTTCCAAAATGATACTAGACCTGAGGCCACGGTTGTTGACGGCCTGTCAACGATACAATTCGTTCAGGCAGTGGTAGCCAAGACACAAGAGGTTAAAATTGGCGTCAAGGACCAATTTGATCACCGACTTATGCTCGCGAGTGCGCTCGTTCCTTTTGATCAGAGGGTACAGAACAACAGCGAAAACCAAACAGTGAAAATGGACGCCACCTCGATTCAAAGGATGTTGCAGTGCCTGGTACATGTCGTATTCCCCCTGGTCTCGTACGTACCGATCATGTTGGCAGAAATGCTCTATATATGTCGTAATAACGATTGATAGTTTTTTGTGGGTTTTCATGTGCATATATATATATATATATATAATACATGTACGAACAAAATGGAAGAACGGATGACTTGGAAAGACATATACTACAAGTACTAACTACATATGTAGTACTAGTAGGATGACATAGTTATTTTTATACTGTACTATTAATAGTATAAAAATAGGAAGGACTGGTCGTTAATATTTCATATATTATTCTTTTTGAACGATATGTATCTATCTATCTGTATATCGTTTGATTCGTTCCATGTGGACTTGACATTATGAAACGCCCTGGTCGATATGTAAATTGCAATTTTCTGTATGTGTTCGTGTGGGGTCTGGATTATACTAAATCGAATTTTTCAACGAGTAGTGTTTTCCAAGGATATACATGTATATATTTTATTACTTGTGTTTAAGGGCCTACTTGTATATTTCTTTTTTCTTTCGAGTTGAACTCGATGTTGTCCAATGGGATACTAACTACTCTATCAACAAACAAGAATTGTCACATAAGGACGTGTGAAAAACTCTAAATTGTCACGAATGTACGATTCTGATTGGTGGTGCAAATCGTACATCATTTTGATTCAGGCTACATTTGTAGACTAGTTTGAAACTGAAAATACTAAATATTCGATAATACCGTTCAAAAAAAAATATATATATATATATATTGTGTCGACCTAATTGAGACAACGGTTCTATTATAGTCAAACAACGATCCATCGAGATACATCCAGTCCCAATATCAACGGCGTACGAGTGGCGGAGAAACTTGTAGTCGACGACAAGGCGTTGGTGCACAGTGCATTGGCATTTCTAAGCAACTCCAAGCTCCTGGACAAGCAGCACCACAACTCCAAACAGCGCACAGATGCCATAAAACACGATCTCAAGTGGTCCAATGCCGACGCGAGCCACGCGTCTGATGTGATGGACGGCTGTCGGCGGTTCCATCAGCTGGGGTATATTTCCCAGCAACTCGACAAACAATCGCAGCAACGTGAGCAATGCCAGCATATGGTTTATTTTCGCTCTCTTGTGATAATCATGTTGTTCTATTGTACAAATTTCGAGAGAAATTTCATTGTGTTGTGGTTTCTCGTTGGAATTTAAATCGATTTGATTGGCTACCTCAGATGAGCTCAAAATTATGAGCCAATCAAAACCCATTTCTCAATGAAATTCAACCAATCAGATCGACTGTGGATCGGTTTGGTCGGCGCAACGATATTCGATTGCACCCCAAATTTGTGTAACAATATGTATTGTCTATCTTTTACCCAAAATGCCGACTACTTTTATGCTGAATCACATAAATCGATGGACTGACAGTTTCTATGTAAAATAAGGCTATCCTGTGGTGATTGATTGGTATATCACACTAATTGAAGTATCACACACGAATTTGATGTTGTTGATGGTGGTTTCCTGCAATCTGATTGGCTCAATGTTACTTCTGCCGATGATGCTTGTGTACATTATATTTAGTTAATGTCGATTCATTCATTCTCCATATCGCATCTCCAGTTTAGAATATAAACACAACAACATACCTTGTAGCGCATAATACCCCCGATGACTTCAACATGGTGGTGCATCTGTGCCTATGGTATCGCTTACATGCCAGTACCAACGATTTGCTGGGCCATATCTTGCCAATTGTATGGCATGATGGTCAAGAGGGAAGTTTACAGCACAACGATGAGTCCAGCGTACGTTGACTGACGTACGTGGCGTTGTGTGATTGGTCGAGTTGCTGTGATAGTTGCTCAACGTCAAGAGTGTTCGTGAGGTGCTGGAGGCCGCCAAATCATTGGCCAGCCAACCCAAGAACCAGCGCACGCGATTTCCCGCCCCGGAACTGCAGTCGTATATACGGGTACGGTAAAGTTCGTGTTTTATCCATGTGTATTTCGGTTGTGTATATATTAATAGTATGATATTGATATTTCGTGTCCTGTGCTATTTAATTTATTTTATTATTTACCTTGGAGTATTTTTTATTTAAATTTAATATATAAAGTGACAAAAATTCAAAACATATTTGAGGTATACTATACAAAGATGGTATAGGGTTACTTGTGTTTGTTGTATTTGTAGTATTGTGTGTTCCACTCAAAATTTCCTCTGGCGATTGGTTAAATCAACCGCCGAACAATCGCGGGACCTTCGAAATTGCATATAAAACTAAGTTTAAGAGGTATCATTGTGACTGCAATGCATGAATCAATCTTTTTAGCCAATCATATTGCGACCTTCATTCTTTGCAGCTAATCACACTCCTTTGCTCGATTAGTTGGCGATCATTTCATCAATTTGGCTGAAAAGCACAATATTTGACGAAATCAAATGTATCGATGACATATATTATTCGTACAAATAATAATTCCTGGTGCTAATTGTGTATTGGCAGAAGAAATCCTCGACGTGGCAGTTGTCGGACGTCCTCCATGTCGTGGCAGTGTGGGAATGGCTACATCCAACGGCATCGATGGAAGACGAGCGCGAGTTTGTGGGAAACGTGCTGGCGCTCATCGTGAACGATGGCGCGTCCAAGAAGCCCACGAAGGCAAACAAGTAGATGATGATCATACTAAGGACGCAATGAAAGTTCCGTTAAGGTGTCCGCGACGTGTCGACGTAGATGTGTTCCTTGTCCACAAGGACTTCGCATACAATGTCGGTCATGGCTAATGCGTCGCCTTTGGCATTTCGAATCGCCACAGGTCGTCCTGCATGTCCATGTTGTCAAGGGCATGCATTGCATGGAAGGTGGAGGGGTTGTACCAAATTGCATCCACCCTTGCTCGTTGGACGCGTCGTACCGCGCGATCGCGACATGTCCGAGCCATTGCAGGCGTTGGCTACCCGAGCCGCAGCACACCGCCACGATCTTGTCGTGGACGTGGACCTAACGTTATGCCATCAATATGGCAGCGGGTACAAGCTCCTTCATGGAGGGAGAAGGGTGGCTACCCACCATGATCGTCATGTTGGGTGCGCTCATATACCCGAGATGAAGATTCAAATCAACGGTTTCGCGTTTTGACGAAATTTTATTTAAAAAAATGACTAAAAATTCGAACCGTTTTTCGTTCCTTTTATGAGAGTGGGTCACTTCGTGTATGAGAGTCAGCCTGTATTTGAACCAATCCCAGCGCTCCAATGAATCCTTTTCCACCAATCATCGTCCTTCTTTGCCCGCGACTTTTGACTTGAGAATTGTATGTTCCCGCCTCTCACTCGCGCTTTTACCCCTCCATTTTCAGATTGCACCTGTCCAGTCAAGATGGCGTCGAAACGTGAGAGCTTCTCGCCTATGAAGTCAAAGCGCCTGGATGAAAAGACGACCTTACAGGTATGTGTCCGCCCCCCGCTGCATGCCGCGGTCGCGGTGCTGACGAGGATATCGTGTGGATGTCTTGGATGTAGGAATTGAACAATCGCCTCGAGATGTACGTTCTCCGCGTGAAGGAAGTACAAGATTCGCGCGACGTGGCCGAGAAAGAGCTGGACACGATCCGCGATCGCATGCAAATGGATTTGAGTATGACCAAGACGCGCTTGAGCAAGGAGTTGGAAGACACGCGCAAGCTGCTCGAGTTTGAAATCGACCAGAAGACTCGCCTCCAAGTCTTGGAGCAAGAACAGCACACGGAATTGGTGAAATTGCGCACCCAAGTGAAAGAATTTGGCGACATTCGCGTCGAACTGGATGCAGTGCAAGGGGAACTGGCGAAGGAAAAGGAAAGCTCCAAGGCGGCCAAGGAAGCGCTGGCCCTGCAGACCACGTCGTTGCAAAGCGCCCGTCGAAAGTTGAAGGACTTGGACAAGGAAAACCGCAAGCTCGCGTCAAGGTAAAGAAAAGATCATGTCTTCCGAAAGGACAACATCCACGTGAGACTCAAATCGTGTGTAGTTTGAGCGACACGACCAACGAATTGGAGCAACTCAAGCAAAAGACGTCGGAATTCTCGTTGACCCGCGACACGGAAATCACGCTTGTGCGCAAGGAGATGAACGCCAAGCATTTGGAAGCGTTGGCGGCGTGGCGCCGCGAGTCGGAAGACCGACTCCACAATATCGAAGCCGAAGTCCGCTCGCATTTTGAAGGCCAGATCGAAGGGCTGCGATCGCAAGTCGAAGAAGCCAACTTGGAATTGGATTCGCTCAAGATTGAATACGAACGCACGGCGAACGACTACGACGAAAGCTTGAAGATCCGACAGGTAACACACATATACCTTCGACATGATGTAATTTGTGGGTTTCTGTGCACATGTAGTCGCTTACGGATAAGCTGTCGACGATTGAAACCCAATACCGCAACGAGCGCAAGAAGTTCCAGGTACAGACGATATCCTCCATTGGATAACAAACCAACCAGGCACATCGATTTTGCTCACGTTTGTATGTGTGAATTCATAGGAAGACCGCAAGACGTACGAAATCAACATTGACAACGCCCGCCAAGCCCGTTTGGCCAAAGAAACAGAGTTCAACGACCTCATGGACATCAAGATTGCGTTGGATGCTGGTACATCCAACTCATTAAATCTTATATGTTTGATTCATGGTTTTGGTGTAGAAATTTCGGCATACCGTAGCATTCTGGATCGCGAAGAGACTCGAGTGGGTATTGATCATGCGAACCACAGCAAGAAGCGCAAGGCGAGCTTGACGCCGGTGAAGTCTACCTCGTCTCGCCAACACAAGCGACGAAAGAGCCATTCCACGGGCGCCGTGCGCATCACGTACTTGAACTTGGAGCAAGGTCGCATCACGTTGGAGAACACGGGCACGGTGGCGTTGCCTCTGGCAGGGTGGCAGGTCACGAGCAAGGCCACGAATGTCGTACGTTGATTCTCATTTGCATGTTTTGTATCATCTAAGCGATGCTGTAGGTGTTTGCGTTCCCGGAAGACTATGTAATCCAACCCAGTGGCCACGTATCTGTGATCTCTGGGCGCAACGCCGCCCCGACCGAAGAAGAAAAGGAATCGATGGATTTCTACGTGATAAAAAAAGCCATGTGGAACTCCCACGCGGACGTGGCGCAGCTGACCAACCCTGCTGGGGACGTCGTGAGCTCATATGCTGAAGGCATGACCGTGGACGATGATGATGTGGATGCGGCAGACACGCCGGTGAAGGAAGGGGTAAGGACGACACATCGTCTCTACAAATGTCTCTGTGTGGTGGTTGGTGGCTAAGTGTTGTTGTAGTGTGGCATCATGTAAGCAAGAGATGGACGTGATGCGTGTACCCTAGCGTAGCCATGGAAGGATACAGACAAGATATTGAAAAGCCTAGTGTATATTGTTGCATGAATATGAACACAACCATGCGTTGAGGCTTTGTGTTAACGTTTTGGAGGCGGGAGTAAATACTTGGTGAGTTGGATCATTTCAAACACGAACGACAGCACGAGCGTGATGAGCCACAGGTAAAAGTACCGCAAATTGTACTTGCCAATGCACTTGCCAGTCCACGGGCAATGGTGGTCGTATTCCAAGATGCACACTTGGCATTCGGAACAGTGCGTGGCTCTGCAGAATTAGGAGGGTTAGACGAAGGAAGGATCATATCATGCTGTGTAGTACCCAGTGGGGCGGAAGGAAGCGCAGTAGTCGCAGTAGCCGTCGGTGGGGAGTTGCAGCGTCGGAGTGTACGGCACGACACCAGGGTCCGTGCATGCGACCAATGCATACGAGACCAACGAACTCGAGATGACGACGAACCCCCCCATGGCTTCTGTCCACGACGCCTAGAACAACGTGATGGAGATATCGTCGTTATTTAACAGCGATGGGCTACATACGTCTGGATTCGTCAGGACGACAGACATGGTAAAGATAGCAAAGCCCGCGAAGATGACAAATGTCCCGACCATGAGCGGCCAATGCGGACCCACGGTGCACCACCGTGGACCAAACCCCCATACAGTCTGTCTGGTGCGCACGACGAGCGAAGTGCCGCGGTGAAAGGCCGGCTCGACCCAGCACACTCTCTCATTCTTGTTGGCATCGAGGAACGCCGCCGCTTCGTCGGCCTTCGGAGCGTCCGTTGTCATGGGTGAGTGAATGAATATGTCATGCGGAACAAAATTGATTGGCATGGCGAGGTGAGTATTTATAATGAATTCAAGATATACTTGGAGTTCTACTTACTATAGAATTACAAGACTTCGTCGTGAGAAACTATTCTGGTTCTATTTATATGCAACATATGCATGATATGTTTCACGTGGTCGTCGGTACAATAATGTCACCATGTCCATGTACATTCTTTATTCTGAGGTTCAATGTGAAATTCGAATTATATAGTCTACTTGTAACTTTATAATAGAATTGGAATGTCACTTGCATATATATTTAGCTTTCAGGATGAATTTTATGTACTGTTTGAAATTATTAATAATGCGACGACATAGAAGTTTGACCTCCTATAATAAATGTTTGTTTCAATATCGTGTTGTGGTGCGAAATCCAATTTTGATTTACGGTAAGTATCATGCCATAACGTTACTATACGTATAGTACTGTAGTATTGTCTTTTACCTAAATTTGGACTTGTGTGCTGAATCGCCAAATCTATCGATCTATTGTTTGTACTGCGTTTTGTACGAGTATGTAAAAAGATGTCGTGCGGTGATTGGAATATCAGACTATTTGAAGCCACACACTAATTCGACGTTGATTATGATTGTTTCCTGCAATCTGATTGGCTGATTCTTCTGACCATTTATTTGTTCACATATTCTCCATGTTAGAATTTAAACACGGAAACAACGAATGGCGTGCACATACTACAGTAGCATAAGGGGTGAACCCACAAGTACAGCACGACCATCGTAGTGTACTATTACCAGTACTTAGTAGTATTTACTAGTACTTACTAGTTATATAATTCGACTACGCGTACTGTTTGTTCCAGATCCACTTGTTGCCAGAGTACTTGATACCTTCCAGGACAGGGCAGCCTCCGTGTAAACTGTACGGGTCACCCCGTCCACTGGGCAGCATACTACAGCAAATAACCGCCATCAATACCCAAGTCATCTCGGGTAAGATAGATTTTTAGTTGGTTACCTGTAAAAGACAATCACTTTGCGCTTCTGAGGGGTCGAGAGAAGTCCTTTGGAGCAGTCGGTAAAGTCTGAGGGCTGGGGCGCGCCGCCCGCCCGCGGGAACACCGTGTGGCCGCCGCGGGGGACGTCCGACATGTACCAGAAGACGGTAATCATGCGATTCTTGAGCCCGTGGTGCAAACTTGCCACCATCGCCGGGTTTTTCGTCAGTTGGTCGATTGAAAAGTAGTCCAAATGTGCGTCGTACTTTTGGTTGAGTTGGTACCTACATATATATATATATATATACGTTGCGGAGACAGACGTCATATATATATATATGTGACATGGTATCCATTGTGGGACATGGCATGATGACATACCGCAACACTTGGACATCTTCTTGATGTGATACATCCACCTTGACCAAATCGGCCACGCGCTGGTCGATCCCTTCTAGCGTCGGGTGCCCCTTGGACGACAAAAAGTACGTGGTGCTACACATAGGCATAGGTGCCACGTCACCAAATATATATATATGTCGTCCATTCAGCCAAGATTTGGATTTATGGGCTGATTCGCCAAATGTATCGATCGATTGATTGTACGGACTTTTGTACATAAAAAAATTGACTAGTTTCACACAAATCAAAGTCACACACACGAGTTCAATGTGGAATGGGTCCAAGTGTGGCTTGATTGGCTCCTTGATTCGGGTTCTGGGCTTTGATTGGTTGATCGATTGTCTGTCGATTTAGTACTGCTCGATCGATTCAGCACCTCAACTCCAATTTCGAATCGACAATATATATATATATATATAATGAATTTGCTACAAATTTCCCAATTTTGAGCGATTCGTAAAACCGGTCGCAAATCTCACCGCGTCATTTCATTGGATTTCCCCAATCCACAGAAAGCGCGAACATAAACGTAAAATATAATATAGCCAATCAGTGACACTCATTTTCAAGATAGACCACCAATGGGAGCGATTCGTGATCGGTTTGGTCGGTGCGATTCCATTGCATCGAGTCTGGAAATTCACACCAAATCAATAATATATATATATATAGCGCACCCACGTATTTATTGTAGCCAATCATACTCGTTTACTTGATTAGTTGGTGACTTTATCAATCCCCCAATATAGGCACATATTTGACTGAAAAGCACAACACTACTGTACCTGGTGCGCCACTCGGTCGCGGGTTTGCCCACGTCGTCGTCGTTGTGCGTCACGCCTAGAATATGATATGTCAGAATGACACATTGATCACGTCATGCCATACCCGACGGCGCCAAATGGTCCATGGACAAGTCCAAGATAACGTCAATCTCGTCGTTTGTGAGAAACTCTGTCACAGCAAACACCAGCGGCGTCATTTCCAGCGTCTCGAGCACGACGTCCCCCAGTCCATGGAGATTAGGGATCACTCGTTTATGCCCGATGCGAATCCCTGGCCACACGAACTGCCCGCCTTCCATCACGTACGCAATCCCGCGGTACTTCGTGAGCGCGTCCATGCGCGTCCCCGTGGGCGTGAACAACCCCCACGGTTGCTTGTACTCGATCTCGTGTGGGGTGGATGGCGGCGCGATGTTGGCCGCCGATTCCACCGACTCGTTGAAGCTGGCCCACGAACTCGACGCCGTGAACGGCACGGCTGGTGTCGAAGCAAACCCGTCGCGGTAGACCCATCCCGTGATCCTACAACGGGTTGACGGAAGTAGCAAGGTGGACGACGTACTTGTCACTCGAAGCATCCAAACACAGCACATGAAACCCTTCGATGGGCTTGACCTCGGTCAAGTGACTTGCCGCGTGCTCGTTGCACCACGCCTCCGAGAAGGATTGCGTAGTCTGCGGCTCAGCGTCCTTGGAAGACTGGACGGATGATGACAACGAACGCACCAACGGAGCGACGTGGGCTTCATACAGCGGGGTCATATGCTCGTGAACGAGCGGCGCCACGTGTGCCGCGTACTGCGCCTCAGCCTGGCGGTACAGTGGCGCGACATGCTCCTTCACAAGAGGAGCTACATGCTGGACATACAGAGGGTGGCGCTGCACCTCCTCCACGTACACAATGGCTGCCAAGACAGCCAGAAGGGCCATCACGACGCTTGTACCCTTGCCCATGGCGACAATCCCAGAAAAATGCCGACGTGTCCAAAGTTGGCAAGTCATGACGACGAATAGTATGATGTCATGGTGATGTCCTATACCGCTTGTTGAATTCCTAGATAAAAACCACACGACGAAATAGAATACATATAAATATCAAGTATAATATATTGGCCAGGAGTATTTTACCATGATATCATGTGTTTCGTCGCGCAGTTGGCTATACTATTAATAGTATGTACTAGAGAGTATTTGGTAGTCTGCCTTCCCACGTTCGCTCCTCTTTGCTTGGGCTGCAGTAAAGTTACAAGCATGTAAACTACTCCAGTCGCAAGCATATCAACACGAGTATCGTCATGGATAGTAGGCTACCGGCAGAATTCCTCCATTGCAAATCGAAACAGACCTCCAATATATAAGGGTGGATAGACATTTGACATCCGTGCTATTATTGTATCGGGGCATGGTAACCGGAAATCCGGATGCAACGACGACGTCGTGGCGTGGTTACTCTTGCAACGATGCTGCGGCAACTGCTGGGGTTGCGCGTGCCTGTGATCCAAGCGCCAATGTATGGCGTGTCGACGCCAGCCCTTGTGGCCGAGGTGGCCAAGCATGGGGCGCTGGGGTCGTACGGCGCTGGTGTCCTTCCTCCTGCCGACGTGCGGAAGGACTTGACGGAGATTGTGCGGCTCGTCCCTGACAAGCGCTTTAACTTCAACGTGTTTGTCGAAACGTCGATGCCTTCGGCAGTTAATGACTCTGCTTCCAACTGGGACGCCTACGACAGACTGCTGCAGCCAGTGCGGGCGGCTTTGCACCTCGAGGGACCCACGGTGTCGCCCGAAGTTGGGTCTAGCACGGCGACTACTTCGTTCTTGGACGAGCACCTTGCGTTAGCGCAAGAGTTCCGGCCGTCGGTCGTTAGCTTTTGCTTTGGCGTACTGGATCGCGCGGTGATCCGCGACTTGCAAGCATTCTCGTTGGTCGTGGGCACCGCTACGTCCGTGGAAGAAGCTCAGGTGTTGGTCGACGCTGGTGTCGATGCCATCGTGACCCAAGGTAAAACGAAGTGACAGCTCCACAACAACACTCCAAACAGACCATCATTCCCGCTGCAGTTGTGGCCAAGTGTTTGTGCTATGATTGGATCCAACTACGCTTGTATACATGCCACACCAACCTGATTCATTTTGACGTAAATAATCATATATTGTCTTTCTTTTACCCCAATATTTGGACTTTTGTGCTGATTCTTTGCCAAATCTATCGATCGATTGTTTGTCCTGACTAATGTATGTAGAGATCGTACTGATTTTAGTCCCTCACTAATTCGCTGTTGAATTGGTCAAATAGTGGATTTGATTGGCTACTTGATTCGTGACCTGGGTTTTGATTGGTCGATATATCGATTGTCTGTCGATTTGGTGCTGCTCATTCGATTGAGCACCCAAACACTCCAATTTCGAATCGACAATACCAGTAGTTGATTATCCTATTGTGCTTTCGAGTGAAATTTCATTGTGTTGTGGTTTCTCGTTGGAATTTAAATCGATTTGATTGGCTACCTCAGATGCGCTCAAAATTATTAGCCAATCAAAACCTTCTAAACGAAATTCAACCAATCAGATCGATTGTGGATCGGTTTGGTCGGCGCGATTCGATTGCACCCCCGCCCCAAATTTGTATCAAATCGACAATACCCCTATTTATTTATTTTAATTTATAAAATCTAAAGTTATTTATTACACCATTGCAACAATACTTCAGATACACTGGTTTATTCTTTGTTTTGCATATACATTTGTAGGCAGCGAAGCGGGAGGACATCGCGGCAGTTTTCTTACGACGTCACATCCCATCGATGCGCTAATCGGTAGCATGGCGCTGATTCCTCAAATATGCGATGCCGTTGGTCGCAGTCGCGTGCCAGTGATAGCCGCCGGTAACGTCAATGCCTCCACATATATATGCGTTTTGGCTACTATGTCATTAGGTGGCATATCGGATGCTAGACATGTCCGGGCGGCGCTGGCATTGGGGGCCGACGCGGTGCAAGTCGGCACGGCCTTCGTGGGCACCCCCGAGTCTGGCGCCCCGGCCGTGTGGAAGGCAGCATTGGGGTCCCAAGCCAACAGCCAATCCACAACCGTGACGCGCGGCCTCACGGGGCGCCCCGCCCGAATGTTTCGGAATGCGCTCGTGGAGGTCCTCCAGCCGTACGAAGAGTTGGCCGCGTCGAGTCCCCGCCAGCGCCATCGCATGCGAGATATCTTTCAGCGAAAACAGGCCCAATACATGGCGCTCTTGGCCGGTCAAAGCCATCGAATGTGCGACGCACACACGACGGTGGAAGCGGTGCTTCGTCGCCTCGTCGAGTAGTCTACTAACGTTAGTTGAACCTTGTGGCATGTGCTAAGCTTACCAGCATGCACAAATACGAGTGCTAAATAATATATATGGTGGTATCGTTCGTGTCGTTGTAACTGTTCTTGTGTCGAAATATTTTTGTGATTAAGCGGCATTCGACCGTTGCTATCCACGATGTTTGAATTGCCCGTATTAGATAATGTCCTTTGACCGAAAATATTGGCTGACTTTGGTGCTGAATCGCCAAACCTATCGATCCATCGATCGATTGTTTGTACTGACATTCTGAAAGTTATATAAAAGTTGCCACCTGTGGTGTGACAGTATTGGTCACACTAATTGAAGTCACATACTAATTCGATGTTTCCTGCAATGTGATTGGGTCCTCACTACCTACTGCCGATGATTCGTCTGTACTTTTCTATTTGGATGTATTGCTTCATTCTTGCTCCAGTTTAGAGTAAACACACCACAATATTCCACGTGCATGTGTGTTGCCACCAAGTTAGTCGAACACGAATGTAGGGCATCGCATCATGATTATGTGTAGAAACAGGATCGAAATTTGTCATACAATAAGGCACGAGAGCTTCCGTGGTAACGTTACTGTTAAACGTGGCCGACTATTGATGTGCCGATTTTTATACTTTATACTTGAGTTATGTATTGAAAACGAAAGTTTCAACCTGTTTCAACAACATACGATTACCATTTTATAAAGGTTTATACAATTCAAACAGGGTATCATGTACCGGTATTGTGCTTTCGAGTGAAGTGGTTTGTTTCTCGTTGGAATTTAAATCGATTTGATTGGCTACTTCAGATAAGTTCAAAATTATGAGCCAATCAAAACCTTCTCAATGAAATTCAACCAATCAGATCGATTGTGGATCGGTTTGGTCGGCGCGATTCGATTGCACCCCCTCCCCAAATTTGTATCAAATCGACAATATATAGAAACACAAATGTAGGGTTCGTAGCATGAATTTATACAGGTATCATTTGTCTAGAGGTTGCATTTTGTCCAATGAAAATCGATTTAGGGTTTGATTGGATGAATAAGTCGGCACAATTGGCACATCAGTTACCGGTAGTACTGTAGCTGTTCAAAAATACCTTGTCAGGGATTCCTGGCTTGGTTAAATATAACGCCCTAACGTCGGAGTATGAGAAAGCAATAAACTTACGATTAATACTGGTAAGCAGTTTCCAAAGTGCACTTGGCGGTTTCAGCTTGAAACCAATTCTCACATCATTATCTTGTACTTAAGAAGTACAGGTTGAAAGGACCAACATTCTTCGTTCTCACAAATGTTTTCGATGTGGTCGACCGCAGCAGCAGGTGGGACAGCGGCGGCGGCGACAACCAACCCGTTCCTGGCCGCGGTGGAGCTCCATTTTCCATTGCTCTTGCGGCATGTCATCAACCTGAATCCTCCGCGCACGGACACCCCGCCATCGTCCATCAAGTTCCTCGTGTGTGTGCCACAAAGTCTATCCCTTCTCACCAGCGACGTGACGCTCGCCGATCTGTACTCGCACGTGCTGGTAGCCGACGCCGCAGTGGGCCAGTACCAAACTCTTGATGGTACAGCTATCTACACGTCGGTTCTCTTCGTCACCTCACCGAGCCATCCCTGTCTGGCAGGGACCTACGTGGCGATTGCTGGCAGCTACCTCCTCACGAAACCTGGACTCGACAGCCATCCCGGCCGCACTGTCCGTATCGTCATGACCGACGCGTACTCCCATCCAGCCATGACTCCTCCGGACGCGTACCAGGTAATGCATCTCCATATTAGTACGCCAATGTACCATCCAAAGCTCCAACTAACCTCTCGTGCCATGCTTGTAGTGCATGATCCTGCACATCAATCGACCACTCGTAGGCGGCGTGGCGGTCCCTGAAGACATGGGAGAGATGGACCGCGCCACGTTTCGCCGATACATTGCCATGATTCGCGCGTACCCGGAATCGGCGCCCGTGTTTTCGTCGATCGATGTATTTGTCCAAGACTTGTTAAGCTCTAGGAAACCCCCCCGTACGTATATGATGCACATCATCCACCCGTCTACGCTTTTCATATATATTGGGCTTTTCAGTCAAATTTGACCATGTTGGGGGTTGATGAAATCGCCAAGTAATCGAGCAAACGAGTATGATTGGCTACAAAGAATATATGTTGCAATTTGATTGGCTAAAAAGATTGATTTCTGTATTGCAGTCACAAAGATACCTCTTCAACTCGTTTTATATGAAATTTCGAAGGTCCGGCGATTATTGTTCGGCGGTTCATTCAACAAACCGCCCGAGAAAATTATGAGTAGAACACATAATACTAGTACTAGTATTGTGAATTCGCTATAAAGTTCCAACATTGGTTTGTTGAAACCACATTGAATCACGCTGAGTTCTTTGAATATACTTGTCTTTTCTTTAAGAGCCAATCAAATCCACTCAAAAATGGATTAGCCAATAGCGTCGATTCGCGATTCGATTCGGCGGCGAGATTCGATTCGACGGGGTCTGGAAATTTGTACCGAATCCACAATATATATATATATTGGCCAACCTTTTGTAAAAAAGGGTAGAGTATGGATTAGTTGCTACTGCGAACATGAGGAAAGCGCATATGAGGTCTTGTATAATGAACAATTGCCGTATACGAGTAATGACTAGTACTACTTATTACTAGAATATCTTTGAAGTCACATACTAGTAATTCGATGTGGAAAAGTTGAAGCGAGAAACGTATTTGATTGGCTAGTTGGTTCATTTTATGGGTTGTGATTGGTCGATCGATTGGGTGCATTCGATGGCGCACGCACCCTTTCCCAATTCTTTCGAATAATCGAAGGGAACAACATTGTGTGAAATATATTGGCGTTTTACCCAAAAGTTGGTTGACTTTTGTGCTGAATCGCCCAATCTATCCATCGATTCTTTGTACTGAAAGATTTATATGTCACAAGATCTCCTGTGGTAAAGATAGGTATTATCACACTAATTAAAGTCATACTCGAATTCGACGTATGGAAGCTATGGTTTCCTGCCATGTGATGTATTTTTGGCTCAATATTACTTCTGCCAATGATTCTGGAATACATTTGGTGTTGGGTTGATTTAATCTTGATTCTCCATGTGACTGAAAAATACACAATATGTAATTTATAAAAATATAAAATTATATTTCGACAGAACACTATTTGACGCCCCGACGACTCCGCCATGTATGGACGACATGCGTGAACCTCCTGGACGACAACGGCACATTGGACACGGATGCGGCGCTGCTCATAGCAGCGCACTCCCAGTATGGATTTCTGGGCGTTTGTATTAGTAATTTATATATCTGTGGATAGGCACCGCCAAATTCAGCTCGCGCAGGCGGTCGAATCGTATTTGATGGAGCAAGTCCATGACGTGGCGTTTTCTGCTGTCGTGGCCAGGTCATCAAAATATATTAATCCATCTCCTCGTTTTGTTATCCAAATATTATTTGTTTGTGTGCTAATTCGCCAACTATCTATTGATCTTCTTCGATCGATTCGTTATACTGAAGTTTGTATATAAAGAGTTGTCTGGGGGTGATTGTAAATATCACACGATTTGGAAGTCACATACAAACTTGATGTGTGGATGATGATGCTGTTGATTTTCTGTAATCGGATTGGCTACATACTATGCATATTGCCTACTAGTGTATATCTTTAGGCATTACTAGTAGTACTAAATTAGACACTGCATCGAACTGAATTGGAAAAGTCTATACTAAGGTAACGAACGCATCGAATTCTCGGACAGAATCAATTTCTCGGACTGCAATAAAATAAACATAAATAGTGCATATTTTTATTCCACAATACAAAAATCAAGATAAAATCACTGTCCGAGAAATAGAAAATCAAACTTTTATTCCGACCTTTACGACCGCTCCTTATAATCCTATACAAACAACACATATTCCGTTGTTTTATTATCAAAAAGGAACTATAAAATAGTGCTCGAATTATATTTTCCTCATATGCCTTCAGATTTACGAAATTCAAAGGATTTCCAGAAATATATTGCGTCAAAAATTAGGCATGACACAACACAAAAAGGCTTTACCTTACTAGTACGCATACACTGCCAATTGTTTCGATTGCGTTCGCGATGCAATCTATTTTCCTTGGGCATTAATATATTCATAATACGGCATTGAGGTGTTCTATTTAAAATCGTCTCATAATGGTTTTTAATATTCATGTAATTTCGTTATAGTTAACATCGTCTCATCATGGTTTTTAATATTCCTGTGATTTCATTATACTTAAACTCGTCTCATAAATATGGTTTTGATTATTACTAGGTGTCGCAGTAAAGACGATGCGGTACACACTGCGTGGCGTCGCCTGGAAATGGCTACGCCGCAGGACTTTAACATTTCCCGTGAGTTTCAAGTAAAACAAACAATTCCCTTATCTCGTTTTGTCGATTCGAATCGATTTCCCCATACATAATCCAATATATGGTCTTCAAGTTGTTGTGCTATATATATATATATATATATCCAGAACGTTGCTAAATATATATATCCAGAACGTTGCTAAATATATATATCCAGAACGTTGCTAAACTAGTTGCTTTACCGTCTATATTTTATAGTGCGAGCAACGCCAAGCCATCGACTTGATCGCCCACACCCACATACATTGCCATACTCCTCTGGCCATGCTCATGCAGCTTAAGCGTGCACTGACCTGTCTAAATGAAGCCATCAGCCGCCACCTAGCGCGACATCGGCGCGTTGCTGCGCCTCCCAAGCAGCAACTCTTGAGCACAGACGACGTGCTGGACCAGTTGCTGTATATACTCGTGCAAGTGTCTAAGCAACGCCCAGCTTTTCCACTCGCGGCTATTATCTCGTATATTGAAGACTACCACTTTGTCAACTCGTCCGTGTCAGCGTTGGGGTACGTATATACGTTCACCGATATATATATATATCTACGAATGTATTAAAAAATAGGAGTATATTTCGTCATTCAAATGAAATAGCTGTACATGGAAAAAATTATAATATATGAAAATATATATTTCGACTTTGGATCGACTTGAGTAATTTTGAACCAACTAAGGTGTATATATATATATATATATACTGATTTTGTTCAAAAGTAGTATGTCGTCATTCGTATGAAATACCTGAGCTGTGAAAATATATAAATGAAAATATAATTCGAACTTTTGATCTACTTATCTGGACCAACTGGTATATATATATATATATACTAATGTTATTCAAAGGAGTGTTTCGTCATTCGTATGAAATAGCTATAAATGACCTAGCTAGACATGGAAATATAAATTATAGACTTGTGATGTTTGAACCATGAAAAAAATGTGTGGGTAGGTTTGCACTGGCAAATTTCCAAGTGGCACTGGAGTGGTTTACTTCATCTCACTCACCAATCGCCCCATTGGGCCGCGTGGCTATGCCAGTCTCGATTCAAGGCAAACAGAGTTACTTAGCTAGTTTCACTCGAGACGCTGCCACGTCATCCAGTTGTTGCCACGTGTTGGGTTCAGCAGCTTCGTTTCACGACCATCCGTTTCATTTCCCACACACTATACGGCATGTAGCGTGCGGGGCTCGATGGTTTGGGGTCGTCACAGGTAGTCTCTTGTTTTACATGCAAGAATAATGTTACTTTATGGACTGTGAGTCAATTAGCTAGAACCCTATTTTGAAGCTGGTACAAACTAGTCTACTAGACAATGTTTAGTATATATGACGGAAATGAATCAGTACTTTGGATTGGTCAAAATTCAACAGAGTTACGTGATTTGATTGGCTTAGACGGTTATTTCGTTCATTTTCTTGAGACAGTCGATTCTGCGGAGGGCTTCAGTTTTGAATCGATTTGACAATCCTACTTACTGTTTTTTCACCATATATATGGCAAATTTCGGATATTCTGCCTTTATAGAGGCGACGCCATTCAAATATGACGTTAACGAGTGTGGCGTGTCAGTAGTTTCGATTGGCCGAAATTCAACATAATTACGTGATTTGATTGGCTTAGGCGGTTATTTGATCCATTCTCTTGAGACATTCGATTCGGCTTTGTCGAATCGATTTGACAATCCTTCTGAATTCACCATATATCGGAAATTTCGAATATTCTACATAGGGGCCACGCCATTCAAATTAGACGTTAACGAGTGTGGAGTGCATGTAGACAACGGTCATTTGTTTACGTGGGGCGATGCAAGTGGAGGTCGTTTGGGAGTTGCAGATCGAAACAACATGCAAGTCCCAACCAGGGTCCCGCAACTATCTCACGTGGTTCAAGTGTCTTGCGGCGGGTGGCACGTCTTGGCGTGTGATTTGCACGGCCACGTGTATTCTTGGGGTAATAATATATATATTTCAAACAACTCGATAAATACCGTATCGCATGGAAATGTATAAATATATCTTATTTATTCATTATTATATTTATATCCGTGGCTCGTTGTAGGCATGAATGCAAATGGACAGCTGGGACACGCTGCGCCATCTGACGACTCAATAGCAACCCCCGTTTTAATTGACGGTATTCCTACCTCGTTCTTTTATAAAACTACTTAAGGTATAACTATTGGATTTGCTGTATAGCGCTGTGTGGCGTGTATATTAGCGCTGTCGCATGCGGTGCCGTCCACTCGCTGGCTGTGACATCGTCTGGACAAGTGTATTCGTGGGGAAGCAATCGATTCGATCAACTTGGCCAGCGAGATGTGGACGACACCGTGTCACAAGTAGGGAACACGTTTTATAGTGGTTTTATAAAAAATATTCGTGGCCGAATGTATATATATATTTATGTTATTTGTGTTATATTGTGTGCAGGCCATACCAAGGCGCATTGAACAAGACTGGGGAGGTCGAAATCGCCGATTCGAGCGACGACATGTTCCTTTGGATGTACGTGTTTGATTCAAACCTATCGTGTAGAGTAAAAAAAGTTCTTGTAGGGTGGGGGGGGCCTCGATACTAGACCTGGCGCAGCGATGCAGGTGGCCGCCGGCACCAACCATTCCATGGTGATTTCGCGAGTACGTTATAACAGTTATAACATGTTATAACATTCTCGAACTCGGTGTTAGGACGGCGCGTTGTTTGTATGGGGATGTGGGCACACTGGTCAACTGGGTCTGGGGTCGTACATGGATGTGTCTGTTCCCACGCAGGTACTAACTAGGTCCTTTTACCCAAATTTGGACTTATGATTGATACTATTTAATCTTGTACACACTATACTATATAGAGAGATTAGTATATATCTGGTTTCACCCAATGTGGAAGGACTGAGCCGAATCAAAAAACGTTTGGATTGGCAGAATATATTCGACATGACGTGATATGATTGGCTCAGGCGGATCTTTATTTCATTCTCTAAGACATTGGATTCTGCAGAGGGCTCCATTTTCGAATCGATTAAGACAATACAACGTCATCGATTCATTCTACGCTCGTAGTAAGAAGTAGTACGAGTAGTAGTACTAGTAGTAGTTGGCCATATTGTCCTTATACTCCAAATTTGACCTTGTGTGGCGCTTTGCTAAACCCATCGATCGATTATTTGTACTGAATTTTGAAGTGATGCCAATCACACTAATTAGAGTCACACACTAATTACATATTGACTCTGGTTTTCTGCAATCTGCGTGGCTCAAAATATTACTTTTTGTCAACTATTGATTTGCCTGTACACTGATTTCATGTTCCTTCTCCATGTCGCTCCAGTTTAGACTCTACTGTACACACAAAACCATGTGTGACATGGTTTACATTTGGCTCTATCACAACTATGTGACACGGTAGGTGATGCAGCTCACCCAAAACGACGACGACGACCAAGAGCCGATGGTTGTGACGGCTGTGGGTGGAGGCGCTGGCTACACGTGCGTATTGCTCCAGTCTGGCCAAGTGCTCTACACTGGTCAGGTCCTCGTGCATGCCGACGCTGCGCCGCCGCCGTCCACTGAGTTCCGCCCCCTTCCAATCGCCCAATCCGATGATGATGCATGGGTACCTGGCGTGGCGATTGCATGTGGTCCCACGCACTGCGCCATTGTGGCTTCAACGGGCCGTGTTATGGTACGGTATTATAGGCCAACTACCTCAAATATATCGAATATGACGACGACGGTGTATACGTATATATATATATATATATATATATATATATATATATACAGTATGTATTAGATATGCCACAGACGAATCGAGTTTGTGTGTTGTTGTTACCCCATATATTGGACTTTTGATATCGGATTCGCCAAATCAATCGGTTTTGTTTGAAACGTTTTGGATAGAAAGGGTTGCCCTGTGGTGAATGGTGGTATCACACTAATTGAAGCCACACACTAATTTGATGTTGTTGGTGGTTTCCAGCAATATTTCGGATTCGCTACATACTACTTTTGCCCCGATTCTTGGGTTCATTTAGTTGTTGATTCACTCATTCTCCATGTCGCTCCAGTTTTAATATTGTAAAATACAGATAGATGATATATATATATATATATATGGATGAATTTTTGGTTACATGGTGTATGTGTATATGTATGTAGATGTGGGGCAGCAACAATCAAGGCCAAATCCTGCCTCACGATGGAACTACCGATGTCGTGCATCCCCCCATGTGGCTCCCACCACGCGTGTCCCTTGTCGCATGTGGAGAATCCCATAGCATTTTGGTGGTCCCGTCATAACATATTAAGAAGATCGCGTCGATTGGTTGTAAATTCGCTAAGATGCAGTAAACGTTCACAATTCGCATGGTGGTTTTGTATTCACAATTGGAATCACGATAGAAAACGTCTGATTGGCTGTATATATACTGGACCTTTCTGTAAGAGCCAATCACAGTTACTCAAAAATGGATTAGCCAATCGTATCGATTCGTGATTAATTTTACAGTTGAACTATTACTAGTACTAGGTATATTAATAGTACTCCGGGGTACTAGGTAATAGTTAAGTAGCTGTATATACAGTACAAACAGTTGCCACCACCAAAAACGGTGTACTAGTTTAGTCCTCACGTTAGTAGCTGGCAACGATCAAATCCAAATACGAAAACACATTTGTACGCCAACATCCTCTCTGTCCAGACTGTATCGTGGCTTGAAATCGCTTCAATATAACCACCGAAATCTTTGATCGTTTCATATACCAGTACTATTATTAATATATAGTTACAGTAGTATTCGCCATACTGTATCTCTTCTGAACGCACGTTATGATAAACATGGAACCACGTCCACATTCTGCAAAGCAAGAAATCACTTGCAGCCCAAACTCGTCTGAAAGGAGTAAGTACTGTATACTATGAACTACTCGTACTATTGTAATAGTATACGACGATTGTATGGTGAAACTACGACAGTGTGCAATTCTAGTCCACACACGAATGAATGCCAACATGGACGGCTGGAAAGTGTATATACAACGTGCCGTTTCAACGTGGATCTTGGATGGCCAATCAAATCGCGTGTTCATTGCCACTTCAACATTCGAATTTCCGGTCTACAATTATCTTCTTCCACGATGTTGGACTGCAAAGTGCCAATATCCCAATAATACACGACGGTTTCAGTTGGACTAGTTGGCGAGCTGGACATGCATGTCCAGTGTTCGCTGTATCTGGCCAACTGCGTCCACGACAAGCTCTTCCAGCCGTCATATGTCCGGTATGTATGTATCTAGTCGTGGGGTTGATTCCGCCTGTATATATATATATATATAGAATCGTGCCACCACCTAACGAAAGAGGCTGGCGAATTGAATAGATGTCAAAAGTCCCAAGGCCAAAAGGTATGTACGATAGATACTAGACACCGTCGAGTACAACGTGTGTGTGTTTTATAATGCTTGGCCAGATTCTACGCTGCTTTCCACACTGTTGTCCCCGACACATTCACTACCGCAACTGCGGGTGCAGCCTCAGCCTCCACGTGCAAACTATAACTACCTGTACGCCCACGGCGATCACGACCATCGACGCGACAACCGCCGCCGCTCCTTCAGGTGCCTATGACAATGGCCGTATCTTGGTGGCGTATGCCAAGTTCTCCCAGCTCGAAGAAGACGTAGACTGGGCTGTCGGTGACAGCGTCCCGGCGTCCGCAGTGTTGGATGACCTCCGCTCTCGCGGCACACCATTCCGTACGTGGATTCCAGGGCATGTCGAGTGGGCCGAGGTACGTTCCAATACTAATGAAAACAATCGTAGTCTACGATGTTGTGAGGTCTTGGCAACCAGCGAAATAAACTTGGACCACAGATTGTTATACTGATGGTCGTAGGCCAACATGTGGAGCTTCCAATTCGACGAGAAGAAGGGCGATGGGTGGCATTACGGGTGGAAAAGCGGGCGGAGTCGAACGCAGCGGACGTCGGCGCATGTCCTCAAGGTAATACAAACTGATCTACGTTTTGCCCCCGAAACAACGACTTACAAAAGACAAAGTGACTCAATATGAACGTTCAAACTTGTGGTAGGCGTTTGTATTTGACCCAAGTGGGACGACGCAGCGACGCGACCAGTGGCGAGTGGTGGGCGTGGCCTCGTCCACGCCGTTCACCATCACCAGCTATCGCGGCGAGCACAACAAGAAACAAAAACGGACTTCGTCCAATTCGGCGAAAAGGACGTCCACCACAAGACCCCTCCAACATCTTGATCCGTCCTCGGTGCCCTCCACCTCTGGCACTTCGTCCGACGAAGACGATCAGGCAGACAGACCCCCCGACGTCGATGAGAACGGAGCAGTCGTTCGACGGCGAAAGGTGCCGTCTAGTGGATATATCACGACCTCCGCCATCGCATGCAGCAGCCGCCCCTTGTCGCACACAACTCCCAGCGCCGCTCCACCTCCAATTCCTTTGGATCCGATGCACCGGCAGCCAACGCCGCCTTCGATCCCCGAACATCAGGACGACCTGGCTCAGTTGTTTGGGCTGCTCCACGTTTTAGAAACGGGCGACTTTCCCACGGCGTTGTGGGCTCCGTTTGAAAAGTCGTGGCTCGCCCCCAAGGGAATCCACACGAACGGTCAATGTTTGTTATTGCCTCATAACCCCCGTCGCCAGCCCCCCCAGAGCCAATTTCATTCCTCTGGGGCATCCCCACATCACCTAGAGGTCGCACTTGCCTTGATCTCGTCGCTTCGGGACGCGTCCGGCCGCGTCCAAGCCACGCTCATCCGATATGGCGACGCCGTTCTTGACAAACAATGCGCATTGCATCTGTTCACCGACTGCATGGGAATCCTACAGGCCCAAGTAGTATCCGTGCTACTACAACAACAAGGTCGAAATCGACCAAGTACTGTACCCGAGCTGCTGCGGCACTTGCCGTCGATTCGTCAGCCTACCAACCACTTGTATCGGCTATTTGTAGCGCAACTGCGGGAAACGTTTATTGTGGTAGTCCAGCCAATCTATAATCATCGACCTATATCTCCCCCGTCCAAAAGACCTAGTAGTCGAAGCTTTGGACCGTCAAAGTCGTCGCTTCTTCTGTGTGTTTGTTTGTATAGGATACACACATGTGGGGGGATTTAATCGCGTAGTATTTGGTCACCTAAAGTTGTTTTTTTGTTTTCACATAGACCCAAGTCAAACGACCGGGAATATTACCATCAACAATACTCGGTTACTCATCGGTGTGGGATGGCACGTGGATGTACCGCCCACAGCACACCCAATTCCACCAGTGGACATTGTCGCTGTCTATTATGTCGTATTTGCGCTGGACGTCCAGCTGGATCGCGTTTACTCAAACTCGCGCTGGCAATTGCATTCAGGTATATATTCTACCTACTGTACCTACATTGATCATCCGAGCCATATCATACATATGTAGCGCTGATTGTTGACTTGATTTTTGGTTGTTACTTGTAAACAGATTCAATCGTGCACGCCATGGTTTGCGTCCGTGCCCATGACACTCGAGTTGGACCAGAGGCCACACGGGTTAAGAGTCCTGCCGACCGGCGAAAGTTGCTTGGCGGGTACCCTCGCCATCGACTACATCGGCCAGGTTTCGGAGCAATTGATGCGGGTCGAGCTGTACGCTTTCAGTTTGACGCACGTGCACGTCGTGTGTGTGCAAGTGGTTCCGCAACGAGGAAGTGGGAACGGTATCGAGTTGAGCTGTCGTGTTGGCATCGACGAAGTGTGTCGGAGGGACGAAGAGGTCGGTCTAGCCGATGAGGCGTCTATGGATGCGGCGTCTCGAATTGCGTGGGCGAAGCAATTGCCGCAACGTACTCAAGTCGTGCAACTGATGGCCACATACGAACGAGTGCCAGGTCGGATTTAGCGGGCTGTCGATTGTACCGGTAAAGTAGCAAGGAAACAAGGGTACTCACAAGCAAGTCGCAGAAAGTTTGCCAACGTAAAAAGAGTACTTCAAATTGGCCTTGGCCACGCAAAAGTGGTCTGAATTATAATGCAAGTCTCGCGTGCAACTAACTATATAAGTACATGCCAAAGTTAACACTGATGTCACTACAACTAGAGATGGCAATCCGATATTGAATCACTTTGCAGCGTATCATTAGTTAAAGAACGGAGACAGCGGTGGCCAGCAAAGTCGTTGCGCAATGCCTCCATGTCGACGGAAGCATATGTGTTGATGGGCAAAGCCAACCTTCACAATGAATAACACTACAACATAAGCTACTGAATGAACGTTGATTGAACAGTATTCATTATTATTGTTGATTATTCGATACGAAGTCCAGACCCCGTCGAATCGAATCTCGTTGCCGAATCGACGCGATTGGCTAATCCAATTTTGAGTGGATTTGATAGGCTCTTACAATAAGGACAAGTATATTCAATCAATCAGAACTCCAGCGTGATTCAATATTGATTAGGCAAACCACGCGACTTTTGGAAGTTTATATCGAATTTACAATATTTTTAGAAATAGCGTTTTCAAGACATCATTTGAGCTGATGAACGTAAAGCACCTACGATGATTTCAAACAAAACTTCAGCATAGTAATACCATCGAACGAGTTGCAATTGTTTATTACATTAACCCACAGGCAAGTGCAACTCCCAACAGGACGAGGTGTCTGCTACCCATGGCGCCCCAAACATTGGTGGCACCGCTGGAACTGCCCGGTTGATTGTTGTTGTCTTGGGTGGTCGAGTAGTTGGACGACTGGGTTGGTTTCAGGTGCACGTGTAGCTCCCACGTGGCCGCCGTCTCGACGCGCTTGGACCCGCAGTGCGTCCACGCCTCCCACTGAATGATCGTCCGAGGACCCGCCAACGCGATCGCATCGTTGGACTGCCAGTCGCGCCAAGTTGGTTGATGACCGACCTTATATCTCCAAAACACGATGCGGTCATCGTCGCTGGTTGTCGGGAGAGGTATATCGCCTTGCTGAGCAGCGTTGGCGAGGACCACAATGGGGGTAAACACAGCTTGGACATGCGACAGCGTCACAGACAGCGACAGAGTCGAATCCGACCAAAAGTGCAACTGGTGCGGCGCGCCGTCATCAGCGTACAAACCCAAGGACATCCAGTCTGTGTCGTTGGCAATGTAGCTTGGAGTAGTCATGCCAAGGGCAGGGTGGGGTTGGATATCTGCGAGCCGCACCAGGTCGTCGGCCGTGGCAGCAAGCGAGAACGTCCCCCCGCATTGAAACTAGTACTCCCCATCACTCAGTCCATTTCAAGCAGATTGCATGACATATATATATACGATGAATTTTACAAATTCCCCAATTCTGCGCGATTCGTAATACTGAGCCCAAATCTCGCAGCAAAATTTCATTGGCTTTCCCAATTCCACAAAAACACGAAGCAAAAAGGAAAATAATGTAATAATGTATCCAATCAGCGATAAGTATTTTCAGATAAACCAATGGGAGCGATTCGTGATGGTCGTTTGGGTGGCGAGATTTGATTGTGAACGGGACTCCGGAAATTCGTATCAAATCAAATCAATCAGATACGGTAACGTTGTCATATCATATGCAGACGTACTTGATCTAGGGTGGCATCCGAGAGGTCCCCGCCGCGATACGGAGCAATATCTGCGCCGCTGCTGCAAATGGCCGTGGCGGCGGCGTTGTCGCACTTGTAGTCGAGCCATACTTCTCGCCATTGATATGACACATACGACGTCCGGGTACATTGCAACGGGGATAGGAACGAAGCTGGGTCTGCCAACACGGTTGTGTCCACGAATGGATTGCGAATCAGAGCGGCGCGGACGCAATGGTTTCCGGGCGAAGATGATACCCCGGCTAGACCCAAGTAGCCTGCGTCGACGGGGCAGTTGAGCCAATCGGACACGGTCACGTTGATCACGTCATCACATGCGATAACGTTATTATCGTCGAGAACGTCACCACATGCGTCGTTGTTTTGCCGAGACGTGACAAACGCATTCAAGTGGGACGAAATAGCGCGGATGTCTGATGCGTGGGCTGACCACCCCACAAATTGAAACACGGACGAGTCGCCAGTAAAGGGACATGAACCTCGCTGGGACTGGGGACGGAAGCGGTCCGACACTGTCACACATGTGGAGCAAACTGCACTGGTGCTAAATCCATCATGTGCTTCCAAGTGGACATCGTAGCGACCGGGCAGGAGTTGCTGCTTGGATCCGCTGTGCAAAAGCGAATACAGAATCGACGGTCGGCGGTCCCCCAACGCGTAGTCACGCCACGGGACCGTGTCCGTGGCATGCAATGTAGGGGTTACGATGGACCCATGGCGGTCATACACGGAAATGTCGACGGTGGCCCGCGATGGAACAGTGTCGCAGCTGGAATATGGCGAGGTAGGCACGGGGATATGCTGGCGATTGCTGCTTGGACAAGCAGCTGAATCAAATGGATTGCAAGCAACGCACCCTTGGTCTGTCCCGGTGAGGAAAACGTCCACCGATGGCCAAGCACATACGGGGGCGTTATCCCACGTTGGGCGAACCAAAGAGTCGCCTGCTAGGGGGCAGCTAACGTTAGCTCGAGACGTGGTGGGGGGGGGCGTTGTGACCATTGCCGTGGTAGTAGTCGGAGCTTGGTAAGGTGGTTTATTGGTGCGAATGATGGGGGATGGTGATACAGTTGACGAAATGTCATCATCGTCGGGGGGAGTTGAGTAAGGCGCGCTTGGTGTGTCGGTGGGTTTTGGGGTTTTTGGCTCGTACGCAGAAGTTGTCGGGGTTGTTATGTACTTTGACGCTCTAGTCGGTTTCTTGGTGGATGAGTATGACGGTGGTTTCGACGGTTTCGTCGTATATGTGGGTGGCGCAGTGGTCTCTGCGGTACAGTCCAACACGACCGTCCATTCGACGGCATCGCAGACACGGCCACAATGAGTCCACGCTTCAAAAGCCATGACCACCGTGGTCGTCGTGTCGTCGTCACCAACGATGGTGACTAAGTCGTTGGCACTCCAGTCATGCCAAACGATGTCGTCGCCTCCGTGGTGTTTGTCACCGGAGGTGATATGTTTGATGCTCCACCGCCAATACACGGGCGCTTCGGTCGTGGGCAGAATCGCATTGTTCACTGGATCATGAGTCGACGTCACTGTCACGATATCTTGAATCGGCAGCTGCAACTGGCGTTCATAGCCGTCGACGTGTCGAAAATGCACTTGTCGGGCACTGGTTTTGACAAACTGGTCGTTCTGGCGAAGCTCTTGTACGTTGGCGTCGACGGCAACACGCACTTGGAAATCGCTGGGTATGGTGGCCAACGACACCATCTGGGTGCATCCAAACTACTTACGCTTCGGGTCAATCTCCATATAATGAATGACACTTGTAGATGGATAGTCAAGGCGTACTGTACCGCTGACAACGCGGCGTCGGTCATGTCGCCACCTCGATTCACGTCCAACCCGCTTCCGCACTGCGTCACAGACGTCGTGTCCTGACAGCCATAGACCACATACGGCTCTCTCCACACATAGTCGAACGAGCATTGGCGGCGGCATTGGGTTGGTCCCAACACCTCGGACGGGTTGCACAAGACGTCGGGATCTGCAAATGGATTCGCGAGCAACTTTGACGCAGCGCATGCCGTCAGGGGGCGAGTGAGACATTGTGTAGCTGTGGCGACGTCGTCAATGGGGCAATCAAACCAGTCCACACCAGTCAGCGTCGATGTGTCCGTGCACGTCGCATCGACCGAAAGCGGAGACGAACAAATGTCGTTGTTGGTGCGGGTAGTAGCAAACGCTGTCACATCAGCGAGTAACTGGTGTACCGAGGCAAAATACTTGCGCCATCCGACATGGTCTTCTGTTGCGGCAAACTCGGGGCAAACTGACGTAGATTGAGGGCGGTAGCCGTCCGTGATGGACAGACACACGTCGCACGTACCGCTGCTTTGGACATAATCCCATGCGTCGAGCTCGATCTCGTACAGGCCCGGTTGGACGGCTTGGGTTTGCAGCAAGTTCCACACAATTGTGTCTCGATGCTGGTTAAAGTCGTTCCAGTTGAACGCCTTGGGGGGGTGGACGTTGGAAAACACGCGAGGGGGTACTACTACAACGTCGGCGCTGAATTGGGTGGACACAGTGATCCGAGGAAGTCTGGTCGACCCGACGAGAAGATCGGCACTGTCTGCATCGAGGCCACCGTCCGGGAAAAGTGCGTGGTCGAGCGCGTACGCGTAGCTCGAATACGGGAACGGCACAAAGCCGATGTGATCGCCTAAACACGAGGTAGACGCAAACACGTTGCAAGGCAAGCAGTCTGCTGGAGTTGCCACCACATAGTCAAATCCATGCCACGTTGGACATGTCGGGCCAAAGCTGGCCAGCAACGCAGACATTTGCTGCGAGGGATGCCGAGAGGACGTCACCTCCGCAGCCAAGACGACCGCCATGGCTGGCACGAGCATTTGAAGTTGAATGGCATTGGATCATGGCTAATCATTGGCGGTTTCGGATTCGAAATCTTTGTGGTTCGATATTTTTGTATTATTCGCCAGTTACAGTTGTAGCCATCAAGGTGCCAGGGGGAAATGAGGTTTGGTGGGTGAGTGGTGTGCCGCTGAAGCTGGTCAACTGGGTGCTTACGTGTACTGGTATTCAGTGTCAATTACTAGTACTACGTAGTAGCTGACGTTTATTATATTCTTGGCACCTCTGAAATGCAAAGTGCACGGCTCCTTACGATTGCCCAAGGCATCCATTGGTGGCTCATCGCGTCAGGTTCTCGTCATCAAGAGAGATACTTTTTTCTAACTTAACTTTGTCGTTCCTAGTACCTGCAAACTCAAGTTTTCATATATTTTAATCTTGTACCTCGAAGTTAGTATTGCAGGCGCTTTGATTTCCAAAAACGGTCTGTCATTGCATCGTCTGTGTCGCTAAGATCGGTTTGTCTTTGTCACTAAGATCATAGTTGCTCCTTCGTTAATACATTTTTACAGCAAAGTCGACCACAGCATTAACACTCTTGATGGTCATGATAACGTTGTTGGGTTACTATGGCCCCATCGCTAACTCGCCTTAACTATAAAAACAACTACCAAGTTTTTTGCAATACCAAACTACTTTAGTTGGTTTCGTCGGCCTAGCAGCACTACAACTTCAAAATGATGTGCATGTGACACTATCTGTCCCATTGGATGAATGATTCGCCATGTTTCTAGATTCAGCACTTTCAGTCAACGTGAGGTTTTGATTGCGAAATGAACGTGACGAAAGATCCGCTTTCTGAAACGGCCTAGCTCACAAGATCGCAAGATCTTTTAATACATCACGTCATGTAGCATTGTGGCATTTTCTCTCAAAGCAAGATGAAGCAAGCCATTGCGTCGTTGGTTGCAACAGCGCTGCTCGTGCAAGCTGGGACCGGTCCCCAGTGGGAAGAGCAAGATTTCCGGGCGTTGTTAGCCAGCCAAGGCCAAACGGTAGCCATCAACCAATGTCCAGCGTGGGCTACACCCATCAAAGACTTCCACATTTCCGCAGCCACAGGGGTGTGCTTGAATCCTGCAAACAACGTGTTCAACTTTGCAAGTGGCGTGGGGCTCAACGCGGTTCCGTTTCCGTACTCGTCGTATCCGTACTCGCTCGACCACCCATTGTTTACGTACGCCAATGGCGCTGGCGTCGCGGCCTCCACCGTCTCTACCCTGCCTCGTATTACTGTGCAAGTGCTCAAGAACGCCGACCCCACCGTAAACGTGCTGACCCCGGACACTGAAACCGCGTTTCATTGGCAAGACTTTGACGAAAACCGCAACGCCCGTGTGTGGAGTCGTGTGGGTCCGTTGGTCGGAAACCCCGGGGTCTACAAAGTGGACTTGAACGCGCACGACTACTACGTTGATAGCGGCGTGTGCGAGTTGTGCTTCACCGTGACTGACCACTACCGTCCCAAGTCGTCGTCGCTCTGCCCCGCTGCCCCCGCCGGGGGATTGGTGCGATCGGGATGGACAGCTGCCAACGTTGCTGCGCTCGATGCGTATTTGGATGGTGCCGGAGCCTTTTCTACCTCCCGTGGCAACAACGGCGACTGCAACACCGCCATTCCAGTTGGCGCCCCTGCGTGTGCGGACACGACGGTCAAGACGCCCTCTGACTGGTTCAATTGCGCCTTGGATACGACCTTGCCGTCGTTCATTACGTCGGACTTTGCCACGACGCCGCCTGGAGTTGGCACCCTTGGCTGCGTCCGCAACATTCTGGCGACGAATCCATTTGCCACCGACTCGACGTTGCAAAGCCCCGGGGGAGACCTCAACACGGGAAAGTGCACGCGCACAGTCACGTTCGACTACCACTGGTACGAGTACTGGACCCAATTCAGCTGCACGGCTGCCCCAGCCGGTCAATGCACCAGTGGCACGGATGCTTCGTATGGCGGGGACGAGTCGGGCGTCACGTCTGCCAGTGCCGTACGTATATTGAAGTTGTTTGTGGCAATAATGCGTCAACTTACCATTGCCATGACTAGTACCAATGTGCTAACACGGTGACGCTGTCGGCTACGGCCAACAACTTGGTCACCACCGCGTCGCTCACGTCGAATGCGGCGGCTCTTCAATCTAACTCGCAGTTTATTTCGGATCCCCGCGGCGTGTTCTTCGAAGATAGTTACACCAAGCTCAGCGACGGTTCAAACAACCAAGTGCACTTCTGGTCGCCGTTGGTGGCCGGCCAGGATGCCGACTTGGACGTCCGCAACCCCGTCACAGTGCCCATTCAAAGCGTGTTTTCCACCTCTGCCACTGGAAGCGCCCTTCCCGGGCTAACCCTGCCCGCCGTGTCGTCGCGGGTGTTTTGGCGGTGGACCACCAACAACCCCGTCACAGCTTCTGGCTGGAACGACTACTCTGCCAACGGCAACTTGGTCTTGACCGATCTCTTGACTACGGTCACGTTTGAATCGTGGACGTATTGCGGCCAAAAGGGCAGCTCGATCTCGTGGAATGTGTACAACCATCGCCATCAATCGATCCAAAACGTCGACGAATGGTTCCAGCCCCAGTGGTCATACGTGTCCAAGCCCCGCTGTAACGTCCCCCACAGCGACTTTGGTGTGGTGCAGTTTGCCTTTGACTTGGACGACCTCAATGCGCGCATCGTGGACCTGGGTCCGAACGGCGAGGGGGATAACCCGAACGGCATCCACGGTGCCCCACTGGACGATGATGTCCTCCTCGAGGACACAACCCATGTAGACTGGAGGTTCAGCGGGGCCACGTGTGCGTGGAAGTACGGGAATCCGTCCTCGCTTACAGACTTTACAGTGTCCGACTATGCGTGGGCGATCGACGCCAGTGACTTTGTGAGCGCGGGGAATCCCCCTAACTTTGTCCCCCAGACCTTTCAGTTTGCCCCCAAGTTGATCAACGCGGGGGTGACCACGGTGACCGTGTATTGCGATTTTGCCTTTACCGACACGCTGAATAGCGACGTCGTGACGGTGTACCAAGGCGCATTCGGCACGCCCCTCGCATTGCTGTCCAAGACTTATCCCGTCGGGTCGTACAACTTGCCCAACTGGCTTCGAGGTCCGATTTTGGGCGTGTCGTCGTTGCGCATTGAAAACGGATACAGCGTCACGTTGTTCAAGGAGTTCAACAACCAAGGCGCGTCCATCACGTACACGACCGACGTTCCCTATGCCAGAATCATCTCGGACAACTGGAACAACGAAGCCAAGAGTTTGCGCATCGATGCCTTGCCAGGCACGGTGGGGTACACCGTCCCTAACACGGTCCATATTTCTACGGACAAGACGTTTGTGTTTGAAAACTGCGACGTGCCGACGATCCTCGACCCGTCCTACCCCGTCGACAACACGTGTGTGGCTGGCTGCAGTGCTGCGTCGTGGAACGTTGCGGCGGCCCAACGCTTGGCGGCCCCCTTCCAGGCCAGTGGGGGCAACTTGATCTTCCCCGCCGGGCAATGGGACGACGTAACGGCGGTAGCCACTGTGTTTCAAACCGACACTAGCTTTGGGTGCTGCACTTCGTGCAACGGCCCTGCTGGCTTTGGCGCAGGAATCACGGCCGTGTCGGCGCCGTGGACGGCGGGCTCGCCCATCTCTCGCTGCCAGCCGTCCAATTATGCCGTACCCAACCCCGCCCCCACGCAAGTGGACCCCACTGTGGTCGCCGACCCAGATGCGGTACCTACTGTCGTGATGATGTTCGCGGAATCGATGGGAGGAGCTTTGACTTCCACAAGTGCGTTGGGGGTGTTGGCAGTGTTTGCGGTGGTGGCGGTTGTCGCTGGGCTGGCGTTTCAACAATCCAAGTTGCGTCAATTCGTTGTCATGGATGATGCGTACACATCGCTCACGGATGCGTCGCTCTAAACGATGCGCAAAAGAATGTGTTTTGAATGGAACTGAATTCGAGTCTTTAATAGTTTGCGTACGTACAACTGACGTACTAGTACGCCCCATTGCAATTAGACTTGTGTTTCTAGGCTACCACGTCCACAACAGACGAGCTCGTACTCATTAGACTTTGTTGGCCAGTGCTAGACGGATATGTTTGAGTGCGTTGAGTGGTGAATTGGAGCACCGGATGGAAATTGCTGGCGGTTTCGCTAACGTTAGCAGAATTGACTGGTTCTTAATGTGCGTCGAGACTCTGCTAGAGTTGTGCTGCATTCCGTTTTGAAGTCGCGATGGAGCAGCAACCTACTACTAGTATACTTTAGTACTTGGGTGGATTTGGAGAGGTCGAATATGCTTGTATGTCACTCGCACATTTGGAAAACTCAATTTCAAATGGTGTGTTTGTTGCAAGAATGATTTGGTAAGGTCCATCCATATCTCACGGTGATACGATTTAGACACTGAATAAGCCAGCCAGTAGTATTTCGTGGTTATGACACTGAAACGGCAAATCTTAGAGTGAAATTAAGTATTAATACATCCAACTACAACTACTTACCAGCTCGCCATCAGCGAGTTGGAATTGACTAAGTACGAGGAATACTGGATCCAATGACTGCTGGGAATATAACTCAATTATATTGAGCTCCACCATACCCTTGTGTTCGTGCAAACAGGATACCGAAACAGCCCAGGAACCAATCCCACCCACTACATACCACCTCCTAAACTTGCTTCGCTTTTGTAACGGCATTCGACATATCAACCTTTGCACGAGAGCGACAAGTACTAGTAGGCAGGTACGAATATCATCATCAATCTTGCAACTCAAACATCAATAATGTTAATATAGTATAGTCGACAGCAGGGCTTGCTAACTTTCGTAGCTTACACTGGTCGATAGAATGCAGTACGTACGGGTTAACGTACAGCCTAGAGTAAGAATGCCAACAACATGGTGTACACTAACAACACCGTGTACACCGATCACGATTAACCCTAGTTTTTTGTTGTTGTAATCGATTTTTCCTGTGTACGTGATTATCATACTGTATTTGATGATTGAGCGCTTCAGTTGTACGGTTTCAGCATTCTCTTAGGTTTATATATTCGTCACGTTTCGAATACTAGCGGTTTCGGATACGACGATACTACCTTGACTTGCGATCTTCATGATCAGCGTTATTACTCAGTTCTAGATATCTGTCATTTCCAAACTTGCTCGCAACCACCGATGAAGTCAGCTTCGTTACTGGCGACGGCGCTACTGGTGCACACAAGTAATGGTCTTCGATGGGAAGAGCACGACTTTCGCGTGATGCTGGGCAATCTCGGTCAAGTGGTGCCAGTCAACCAGTGTCCGGCGTGGGCGACACCTGTGACGGACCTGCACTTCACGGCTTCGTCCGGGGTGTGTCTTCCCCCGAGTACGAACTTGTTCCTCCAAGCAAGTGGCAACCTACTCAAGCCTGTGCCGTACCCTCACTCTGCGTACCATTACATTTTGGACAGTCCGTTGTTTACGTACTCGAATGGAGCTGGAGTCGCGTCCTCGACCGTGGCTGCGTTGCCACGTGTATCTGTGAGCATCCTCAAGAACGTTGATCCAACCTCCAGTACTTTGGTTCCGTCGACCGAGTGGGCGTACCATTGGCAAGACTTTGACGAACACCGAAACGACCGCGTGTGGAGCCTCTTGTCGCCGCTAACGACAGCTCCTGGCGTGTACAAAGTGCAGTTGAATGCGCACGACTACTTTGTCGACAGTGGCGTGTGCGAGTTGTGCTTTACCGTGACCGATCGATACCGTCCGAAGTCCAGCTCCCTTTGCCCTGCTACCCCCGGAGGGGGGGTAGCCCTTGGTTCGTGGTCTGCGGCCAATGTTGCCACGCTGGATGCGTACTTGGATGGAGTCAGTTCGTTTGTCGGGTCTCGTGGCAACAATGCCAACTGCAATACCCCCCTCCCAGCCGGAGGTTCTGCGTGTGACGACACGAACACCGTGACGCCCACCGATTGGTTCAGCTGCCCCTTAGCTACCGCTTTGGGCGACTTCATCCCGGCAGATTTTGCAGGGGGTGCGACTGGATGTGTGGGCACTATTTTGGCCACGGATCCGTTGGCCGCTAATGTGATTACACCTAACTTCTTCAACTCCCCCTCTGTGTGCACGCGGACAGTTACGTTTGCGTATAAGTGGTATGAATACTGGTCTCAGTTCAGCTGTGCAAGTTCTGGAGCCACTGGACTTTGCACCAGCGGTGCCGATGGCCCGAACAGCGACTACGGGCCAAACGGAGGCGACGAGTCGGGCGTGACCTCGTCCAGCGCTGTACGTACACAAGACACAACCCCAGTCCATTTTTACATTGTCACATTTTTTGTACTCATAAATGCTTGATTGGTTTTAGTACGCGTGCGCCAACACGGTGTCGTTGTCGGCAACGGCCGACGATTTGGTAGCGTCGGCAACTGTCAGTGGAAACCCGTCGCTCACATCCAACGTACAGTTCATCAGTGATCCGGCCACCGTGTTCGCGGAGCCGTCGTACACTGCGCTCGGCGATGCTGGAAACACTCAAATTCACTTTTGGTCGCCGTCGAACGCCGCTCAAGACGCGGACTTGGACGTGCGCAACACGATCACGGTGCCCATCCAAAGCGTATTCTCGACGACGGCGCTTGGAGGGCCCATCGCGGGACTCACGCTTCCTGCTGCTCCGAGCCTCGTGTCGTTTCGATGGTCGACCACGACGCCGCCCACGTGGAAGCGCTACAGTGCCAACGAAAACCTCGTCTTGACCGACTTTGCGACGACGGTGACCTTTGAAGCGTGGACGCACTGCGGCCAAAAGGGCAGTGCCGTGACGTGGACCGTGTACAACCACCGCCACCAGTCGATCCAAAACGTCGACGAATGGTTCCAGCCCCAGTGGTCGTACGTGTCCAAGCCCCGCTGCAACGTCCCCCACAGCGACTTTGGCGTGGTGCAGTTTGCCTTTGACGTGGATGACCTCAATGCTCGCATTGTCAACTTGGACGCTGAATCAGACAAACCCATCGAGGCCATTCTTCCCCCCACCGCCGCGCTTCTTGGAGACACAAACTACGTCCGGTGGTTTTTCAACAGTGTCAAATGCGCGTGGAAGTACGGAGAAGCCTTGTCGGCCGCGGACTTTACGCTGTCAGACTACGCGTGGTCCATCTCGGCTGACGACTTTGCCAGCACGGGGTCTCCCCCGAATTATACGCCCCAGACGTTTCAGTTCGCCCCCAAGTTGCTCAACCAGGGGGTGACCAAAGTGTCGGTGTATTGCGACTTCTTCTTCACAGACACATTGAAAGCCAACGTTGTGACGGTGTATCGTGACGCAAGCTACGTGGGCGACTCGAAATCGTTTCCCGTGGGCGCGTACGACCTGCCGTCTGGATTCCTGGGCACGCCGACCCCGGCCAACGGCGTCTCGTCGCTCAAAGTGGCCCCGGGGTACAAAGTCACACTATACCAGGACTTCAACCAACGTGGGTCGTCCATCTCGCTCACGGCAGACACCCCGAGCTTCCTTGTCGGGTGGGACAACTTGGCCAAGTCCATTCGGGTCACGGCGCTGCCCGGCACAACTGGGATCAACTCGGTGACAATTCACACGGACAAGAACTTTGTGTTTGAAAACTGCGACCGGCCTACGTGGGCCGACGCGTACTTTCCCACCGGCGAGACGTGTGTCGGCAACTGCAAAACCCCGTCCTGGCTCAACACGCCCGGGGGCCGTGTGGCCGCCCCCTTCCAGGCCAGCGGCGGCAACTTGATCTTCCCCGCTGCCGAGTACACTGCCGCCGCCCCCATTGGCACTACGTTTCACGTGGGCGCGAATTATGCGTGCTGCAGTGCTTGTGATGGAGCCGCTGGGTTTGGAGCGAGTATCACGTCCGTGTCAGCCCCCTGGACGGCGGGCTCACCTATCTCGCGCTGCCAGCCGTCCAATTATGCCCCGCCCAACCCTATTCCGACGCAAGTGGACCCGACCACGAACGCCGACCCGGACGCCACTCCTGTTCTGCTGGCGTTTGCTGACATGATGTCGACGTCGTCGTCCAGTAGTTCATTGGCCGTTTTGGTGGTGATGGTGGCATTGGTGGGAGTCGTCGCAGCCGTTGTATTCCACCAATCGTCCAAGGCGCGGCAATTCGTGGCGTTGGATGACGCGTACACGTCGCTCACAGATCCTGCGCTCTACTAGCTTTGTATCCGTGGTGTATGTAATATAGAGTATATATTACATACTTTATGGCATGGTAGGACATGGTAGGACAGTTATCCGGAATCCGGTTAAAAATTGTTATACGGATTTAACCGGTTGATGTTGTCCCGATCGTGCAGCCCCCCCCACACATAAGGGCTGCTGACAAAAGTTTTAGGCGCCCCAAAGGCTCTTACGCTGGTCTATCATTGAACGGCATCGCACGTGTAGGGCTTTTCGCCACAAAAACCTGCGGTCGGTTTTGGAGGTCTGCCTTTAATGTGACGCATTCGACATTGAGGCAATGTGAACAATGGATGTATTTGAATTTTGAGCTGTACCGCATGCACTTTTTCGGCAAGGACATGGTGTGACGCATTGCGACTGGCAGTTGTCACTTGGTAGGCAGATTCCTTTGAAGTTATTATGGAAAGTCACTGAATTGCAAGGACTTCCCTGGAAATGAGACTAAACTATTGCAACCCA